AAATACAAGTAACAATATGGACAAGTAGTATTTTTGCTCTAAATAACGATTTTTATAAAAAGGTTCCTTTCAGTTCTACGGTAAAACCCAATTGGTAAACCAAAGTGCGCTAAAAAGGTTAAAAGTGTACTAGACGACTTTCGACCAGGATCTTATTTGACCATTAATTTTTCCACATTAACAAGATATAAACTAAAGAATATTTTTATGGTCCGAAGCAAAAGTTGGAACGGGATGGGATTAAAAATAAAACAACCACGAATATTAATACCATAAACATTTATTTGCTCTCAAATATGTTTATTGTGCAATATTAATGCGCACAAAATATGATTGGGGAATATTGAAGTGTGGGAGAGCCACACTACGGCACGAATGGGCTAACTCGACCGGTGTATTACCACGGCCTCACAGAAAACCGACGTGAAACAACGCTATCGTTGTGCTTCGTCGTGTGAATGAGGTTACCGGAGGTCTAATTACTACTCCCCAATTTTCCTAATCCCTGAATCATCAACAATCCCCAAATTTCTTATCCCCAAAAGGCTGGTAACGCACTTGTAACATCTCTGATATTCCAGGTGTCCATAGGTGACGCTGATTGCTTACCTACCATCAGGTGATCCGTTTGCTCGTTTACCAGATTATCCCATAAAAAAAACATATTCAAGCATTTTTTGGGGCAATGTGGCATAAATTTTTGGCACTTTGACACTGATAAAATCCGCTTTCTTAAGATATCAATTAGATTTAGTTTTTGTTTTTTAGTTTAGTAGAACCCACGACACAGTGAGCACCCAAATCCAACCTTCATACTATCACGACCATCTCAAACTCTGTAGGTAATCCTATTACTATTACATACGAACTTTACAAACAATCAAATCAATCACCTAATCTAGAATCTAGATCATGCTTTGTACCAATGTATTTAGATTCGAAGATGCTAATGGAAGCGATATATTTTGAAAGTTTAAGGTCTGATGTAGATGAGTACTTAGTTTTTTGTTGATGTATGGCATCCTTATTTTAACAACCATATATCCCCAAGCTGTCACCGGTGACCGCCCTCCACTAACTACATTATAGACCTTATTTCCAATGTTTAGAGACTACTTTTATATGAACAAATTCAGGGGATGATATATCAGATATTTCAACAGGTTAGGATATGAAAAGATATTTGTTTGTTTATAATGACGATGTTATAGACAGTTTTATAGTATGATTTTTAGCATCTAGAATTAATACACCGGAGAAAGTTACAGGCTACTTATTTTCTTTGGACACCGCGGGTGATGCTGAGTCGGGAAAGAAAAACAAACAAATGAATTTATTTATGTATGTATATTACAAGGCATCAATTTTTCAAGTCCATGATAAAGCCAACATTTCCTTACTGACTACTCTAAGAAGGAATACCGGAACACACTCAGAGTTCTGTATATGCCAACGCACATTGGAACAAATGACAATTGATGTAGGTATAAAGATATAAAGCTCTACATAGCGCAAGTAAAATTGATAGAAAATTCCTACGAAGAACTGTTGGGCAGTAGCTCACTAGGCACGATCATCTCGTCTTGTTAGAAGATCCTCCATTTCTTAGGGAACTTTACGCTCTGTTCCCTAAAGAAGTATTTTATATTATGCTAAACTTCTTAGAACAATCATAATTATTAATATGGATTATGGATTGGGTATGGACCCAAATAATTTTTTGGTATAATTATTAACATAACATAACATAACATCACGCCTTTTATCCCCGAAGGGGTAGACAGAGCTGCACATTATGTCACTGTACAATGTAACACCCACTTTTCACTATTTATGTTATGAGTCCCATGTAATAGGGGCTGAGCCTATTGTCATATAGCGGTCACAATTCCAGACACCATGCTACTACTAAGAATATTTAAAAACCCAGTAATACTTTGCCCGACCCGGGAATCGAACCCGAGACCCTTAGCCCGGCAGTCACACATGCGACCACTCGTCGCAAAGTATTACTGGGTTTTTAAAAATCTCAGTAGTAGCATGGAGTCTGGAAATGTGCCCGGTATATGGCAATAGGCTCACCCCCTATTACATGGGACTCTTAACATAAATAGTGAAAAGTGGGTGTTACATTGTACGGTGGCATTAAGTGCCGTAATGTGCACCTCTGCCTACCCCTTCGGGGATAAAAGGCGTGATGTTATGTTATGTATGTATGCATAATATACTCTAAAAATAACAATTTGTAGCTTCCGTTTACAAGTTACTTTATTTTCGTGAACCGGAATTGATGAGGTGATCAATTACTTCACTCCGATTTACTGCTAATAATAACTAACTACTTAATTGATTTTTATCATCAAACACGAGTTTTGATATAAGTACTTTCAGTATTCTGTCCTTGTGAACAAAGTAAATGTATAAACTTAGTCTATCGTTTACCGCGGCTTCACTTGTAGCATAAATTATATTTGAATCAATCCGATACATCTCCCATACTATTTTATTTTAGCAAAATCTTAACGACACCTACACATTTTTTATTTCTATCGCAAAATATATTAAACTTAATCAATATGTAGCTTTAAAACAAAAATAAATTTTTAATAAGCACAATACAAAAATATTTTAAACTAATCCACTAATAGATTTATAAATGCATACCATAACATAATATCACGTCTTTTATCCCCGAAGGGGTAGGCAGAGGCGCACATTACGGCACTTAATGCCACTATACAATGTAACACCCACTTGTTCACTATTTATGTTATGAGTCCCATGTAATAGGGGGTGAGCCTATTGCCATATACCGGGCACATGTCCAGACTACGTGCTATTACTGAGATTTTTAAAAACCCAGTAATACTTTGTCCGACCCGGGAATCAAACCCGAGACCCCTGGCCCGGCAGTCAAACTTGCGACCACTCGGCCAATGAGGCAGTCAAATTTATAAATGCATTACCAACAAACTAACTGTCGCTCCTTTAATACCTGTATCTATTTAAGTATTTATTAATTAGAATTTAGGAACGTTGCACAAATCTAAAGCACTTTCAAATATACTTATCAGCCGTCATCTTTACTATGATAAAGCCTTCTTTCATATTTTGTGACAGCCAACATTTCACTTTTTAACAAAATATTTAACTTTTAATTCGCTTAAAGATTTCAGAGTGTTATGAAACCACTATATGATCCGACTGGCTTCTGTTATTTGATTAGAAGGAGAATAAATACTTTTAATCTTTTATGTATCGCTAAAGACAGATGAGACACATAACAACACGCCTTTTATCACTGAAGGGGTAGGCAGAGGTGCTCATTATGGCACTTAATGTCACTGTACAAGTTAACACTCACCTTTCACTATCTATGGTATTAGTCTCATGTAATAGGGGGTGTGCCTATTGCCATTTACCGGGCACAATTCCAGACTCCGTACTACTACTGAGATTTTTTTATAACCCAGTAAAACTTTGCTCGACCCGGGAATCGAAACCGAGACTTCTTGTCCGGCAGTCGCATTCGCGACCACTCGATCAACGAGACAATCAAACAGATAAGAGTTTATCGAATTTCTTGACTTTAAGTAAACATTTTATATTCGATATTAAGAAAACTAAGGCCTGCATTCAGTCACTTCCAGTCACTTCCAGGTCACTTCCCACAGACCAATCTAGAAATATTGAGGGAGGCTCTTATTCAATAGGTTTTGTTGCATAATGATGAATGGCAATAGGCTCACTCTCTGTTACATGCAATAGGCTCTCAATATTACATGGGACTCGTAACATAAATAGTGAAAAGTGGGTGTTACATTGTACAGTGGCATTAAATGCCGTAATGTGCACATCTACCTACCCCTTCGGGGATAAAAGGCGTGATGTTATGGTAATGACGATTGTGTTACTAGGGTACTATCCGGAGGATGGATCTCACACCTCATACTTGAAGAATACACGACCAAATTGATAGTTACTGGTTAAATATCGCCATAAAACACCTCCCATATGTAAAAGATACGATCACAAGCAACAGATATTGTTACGACACGATGTAATGATCTCGATTCATGCAATCCAATAACATTCAAGATCACGACCCAGACAGTGAACTGATATCAATCGATGAATCGATACTTTCGTTTAAAATCGATATATCGAATGTTGATGTTTGATTTTAAGGCTCACCGAATATACTATTGTTATTTTTTTATAGAATAAAGGAAAACTACTAAATAAAGGCTGATTACTTTATGACTTCTGCAATATCTGTGCCTTTAGCCAAACGCCATTTTAGCACTTGTCTAAAGAGAAAGTAGAAATCAAAATGTATGGGGATGATACTGACAAGTGTCAAAATTTACGTCAATTTCATACAATTTGGTTTTCTATTCTACATGTTGACAAGCGCTAAATGACATTTGGCTACAGCTACTGGGACGTTAAAAGTGTGTTGCCAGTCTTTCATTGCATTACAAATTATTCCATTTGTTGTACAAAATAATTGAAATTAACTAATTATTGCGTAAATGAAACCTAAGGAAAGTTTAAAATATTTATAGTACCTACTTAAAATTTACTGACTTAGGTATCTGAGATATTTTAATTTCCTAATATATTTTAAGGAAAAGGCAATCTGCTAATTAATGTAGTAAAGCCAACAGTTATTCTATATTTTTTCTACAGTAGGTACTAAAAGACCAACAACCAACGGTCCTTTTTCCCATAATGTATTAATGGAATCCTTGAAAAAAAAAACAGTAAGATTTGACATACGAGGTCGATCACGTTCGGTAGTTCAAAAAAGCTACCAACTAATTACATGAGGTATCATAGCTCTGGTTTATTATTTGAGCTATAAAATGACGTCAGACGCGTGTGTTCAGGATCGACAGTAGATGGTATATAATGGGTCAGTCGAGTCGCAGCATCACAGTCCAATCTGAGCATCCAACCATCTTAGGTTTGAAGTGTTCCAAGAACAAAATATAAAAATGAAATTGGTAATTAATTTTTATTAAGTGTTTAATGAATTGTACAATGGAAATCAATTTTAGTGGCCATCTTAAAAGTTTATCGTCAGAGATGCAACTTTTGAAAATTTTACGATCATTTTCCATTAAAATAGTTTTGCAATTATTTCGTGTAACATTAACAAGTAATTGAATACAAATAAATATATTCTTTTAAATGTTAATTGACATATATATTGCAGAGATTTTCCTAACGATAAAAATGCATCGACAAACATTTTTGTTGACTTTTTGTTTTCTCCAGTTCGTGATCGCCGCCCTCGTCGCCGTGGCCGCTGCCGGTCGTCTGGAACACCTGGAACGCTCCTACCTTCCTCCTGACAACTCCATTGGAGTCGCGAGGTCATCCTTCGGCTCCAACGGAGGCTTTGGCTCCGGCTCCGGCTCCCATGGGTCATTCGGATCTAACTCTGGTGCCTTCGGCGCTGCTGGAGCGGGTCTGCAAGGCCACAACGCTGGTGCTCGCTACTCTGGCGCCACTTCCAACCAGTACCTGCCTCCTAACCATGGACCTTCTGGCGCTCAGGGTGCTCCTCAGTTCGCTGGCTCTTTAACCGGTAAGAATTTTATGCCCAAACAAAATATAGTTTTGAAATAACACAAACAAAAATGAGTCATGTCATTAAAAATTCGGTTTAAAGACATAAATCAAAATAAAACAAATACAATTCAATTTCAATAAATCGATCTCGACAGTTATAGCAATAAAATCATTTGCATCGACCGAGATATTAATTAATATAATAAAATGATTTGACATTAATTATCAATAAACCAATACTGCGATGATTTTTTCTGGCAATTTGTATATTTTAATAAGTCATAAATCATACTTTTGGTTATATAATTGGGTTTAAATTTAAAAAATGTACATTTAATTGACAGTTTTATATCGATTGCGGTTTGATTAACTCTTATAAGTATTAAATCATAGTGTTTCCCATCTAATTGTATGTGTGATTTTCAGTCAGCGGGTTGAAGTCTAGCCTTAAACTTTTTTGAAAACATTTTTTAAATATGTAACAGCATCAGCATATTGACCATATTTGTTAATGTATTCCATGATTTCAGGTTTCGGTAGCCAGAACTTCCGTAGCCAGCAGCAATACAGTGGTCACGGCGCTGGTCATGGTGCCGCCCATGGTGTTGCTCAGCAGTACTCCGCTCCCAGCTCCCACTTTGGATCTCAGGGTTCCTTCGGATCTCAGGGCTCCTTCGGTGCTAACTACCAGGGCCAGTACTCCCAGCAGTCTGCCGCCACCAGCCGTCAGTACTTGGCTCCTCACTCCGGCTCCTACCAGAACCCTCCCCAACAAGCCTTCGATGAACAAACAGGATACCACTACTAAGAAGCACCGTGTGATGGTTTTAGTCAATTGAAACGGTTGTATGTATAATAATAAATAGCTGTATATATTATTTTGGAGATTTTATTATCGACTTTTTTGAGTTATATAGTACTCAGATAAAACTACCTTCTTATTGACTATTATATATAATCCCATTTACGGATATAATCTTAACCTATTAATTTCAATCAGCTATCACAAACCCGCATTGAGCAAGCGTGGTGATTGATGCTTAAACCTTCTCCGTGTGATAAGAGGCTTTGCTCAGCAGTGGGCATTTATAGGCTGTTGATGATGATGATTAATTTCAATGGCCAGTTAGAAAGTTAGAAAGAAATGTCTAGAATCAACTAGGTAAAAAAGCCTTTACTTAAAAGACATGTATTATTGATAACTAAATCACAAATGATGTACCAAAAGACCAGACTAAGGTAATGGTCCTTAATTCCTTATACATACCTTGTCGCGGAGAACTTAACGGGTTACCGGGGCTCCGGCTCGAAGTATAGGAGAAGGAACGGGGTGGTTTTTAGTCAGTAAGAGTATGACACTCCCTCCCGCCTCACCCAGGCGGGAGCATACATTCAATGATATTCGCTTCTTAAAAAAAAAAATACATAAAAAATATTTGCATCAAATGAACAATGACCCAGTACTATTTTTAGTTTAATGTTACGTTAGTACTATTGTATGTGGGACACAAAAAATAATCTGTGTCATTAGAGTAGTATAACGAATTAATAGTTAGTTAAGTTATCGCTTAAGCGAACATTCAACTTAGCGCTAATGTTTTGCTAGACAAAAAAGTTCTTAACATAACATAACATCACGCCTTTTATCCCCGAAGAGGTAGGCAGAGGTGTACATTACAGCACCCGTAACATAGCGACACCCATTTTTCACAATTTATGTTATAAGTCCCATGTAATAGGGGGTGAGCCATATCGGGCACAATTCCAGACTCCGTGCTACTACTGAGAATTTTTAAAAACCCAATATTACTTCGCCCGACCCGGGTTAAAAATTGGCGTGATAGATAGCATTTAAAATTAAAATTTTATGGTCCCGGCAACCAATACTTTTTTGTGAGGGGGGAAAATCATCCAATGACTTCTTCAGCCCAGGTGAGGCGAGAGGGAGTGTCACACTCTTACTGACTAAAAACCACCCCGTTCCTACTCCTGCACTTCGAGCCGGAGCCCCGGCAACCCGTTAGGCCTTATACTTAACTTGAAGTCACAATAGAAAACAAAACACAAGATGAATCCCAAAACTGTAGTCCTTTTAAAAGTAAACTATCACTATGGATACGAATTACGTATAAAAGAACAAATGAAAATGGCTTACGTTTATGTAGGTAACTAAAGACCATTAAATTCGTTAAAGACCATCCCATATAATAATACAAGTGTTACTTCAATAACGCACAATCACTACCATTTAATGTTAATTTTCTCATAACTACAAAATAATTACAACTTGCGTACATCAAACGTAAAAAATTCGTAGTCCATTCATGATCTACACATCGACGTCATAACATGTAATTAGGTGGGATAGCAACAAATCGATTACGAATTCACGTGCAGAGCCATGCTTCGGCACGAATGGGCCTGCTCGATTGACGTGACACCACGGTCTCACAAAAAACCGGCGTGAAACAAGGCTTGAGTTGTGTTTGGACCGCGTGAGTGAGGTTATTGGAGGTACAGACTTCCATCTTCCCCGAGGGTGTCCGCTACCCAAGTGTTCATGGGTGATGCCAATTGTGTACCATCAGGTGATCCGTCTGCTCGTTTGCCGTGTTACCATACCATAAAAAAACAGAAAAAATCGAGAAAAAAATTTCTAAAGCCCATTCGATTACGCAACATTGCCAAACGGCTAATCGATTATATTCAATGGAAACCGAAGTTCAGTGTCTGGGTCATGATCTTGAACATTTTAATTGCAGTGCATGAATATACGGATAATATGTTGCATGGAGCGGCATTGTGCAAAGGAAAAAGTGATTTATGGATGAATACATTAGTGTTATTATCATTAATCCATTGTACTGGACAAAGGTTTACTTCTTCTTTTGTACTTGACAGTATGATATTATTTTTATCTTAATGTAATACAGCAAAACTGTTTTTCATCCCCGAAGGGAACACAAAAGTACGTATTATTTGTAATGTCACACCCACTTTTTAATACTATCTATGTTTTTAAGATTGCCATAAAACAGGGAATGATTTTATTAGCGTAAATCGTACACGATTGCAAACACACTTTTTTTTTGAGAGGGGATAATCATCCAATGCCTTCTCCCGCCCGGGTGAGGCGAGTAGGAGTATCAGACTCTTACTAACTAAAAACCAGGTCGTTCCTACTCCTGCCCTACGAGCCGGAGTTCAGCTTCCGCGGCTCCATTGCAGACACAATGCACTATTAGTGTGCATTTTCTATATAATATAAGCTGAAAATGTCTCTCTCCTATGTTCTTCCCTCATGACTGAGAATCGTGATCATCCTGGCATCACTGGATCGGACGAATTGTCTCCATCAGCCGTAGAACAGACTGCGGCCATTTGTGCTGTGGTGTAGAACCTTTATACTGGCTTGTCCTTAAGCTGGTCAGTCATCTAGTTGGAGATCGGCTTCTCCTCTTAGAAGAGAGAAAATAGTTCAATCAAACTCAAGACCTCTAGTTAGTCGCGGAGAACCTAACGGGTAACCGGGGCTCTGGCTCGACGTGCAGGAGAAGGAACGGGGTAGTTTTTAGTCAATAAGTCATTCATGAAACTAACTCATTTAAAACTCTCCACAGATCTGATTAATTTGCTTACCATTATAGATGCTTAATACATTATAGATTTTTTCACAAAATTCGTGATGATTGGCAGTTTAATATTACTTGTATATTATGTTGATAAGGATCAGAATGGCTTCAAACAATTTTCATTAAACAATTTTATGGAGAAAAAACTATGAATGTTAACAAGTTAATAATATTTTAATAATGGAGTATAAAGTGTTTCTAAGCATCAAATAGATTATAACTATTACTTAAGTATCTTTTGTAAGATCATCCTATGATTAGCAAATTAATTAGAGTTATTTTGTGGTTTCGTAATTTTGTCTACTTTTTGATTAATATTTATAATCTTTGTTTTTGCTTCAATTTAGTTCTTTTATTATTTTAAAGCTGTCGACACCTGCTGGATAGTAGATAAATCCTTTGTTACTTCTATATTCATGCTTGTTGTTCGTTTAAACTGTCAAACACCAAGCGGTCACCGGTGACCGCGACCTATTGTTCTTTAATTGTGTCTATAAAACCGGTACTCGACGAGTTAAGAGACAAATAGGTACTGGACTTATATGTAAATGTATGAATTCCCTCGCATTTAGAAGAGGTCTATAATTCAGTAGGTAGTGTCACAGATTGTGATGTTAAGACTTTGACTGCCATTAAAAAACTGTTGAAGGTAAATCCTCCGCTAACGCCGGTCACCGGTGACCCCCATGGCGTTTAACGTGTTAATATTATGAAACATTGTAATTATTAGCTTAAAGAGTAAACCCAATATAAAAAAAATATTGGTCTCTGATTTTAGGCTCAAAATGCCTACGAAGGTGAAAGATATTATAGTTAATAATCAAAATTTGAACTAGTAATAGAAGTACTGCATCGTATTATTTAAAAAAAATGGTTTGTCATAATATTATACACAGCTATTTATTTTGCATACATATGCACATTTACTACAAAGATACTCATAGAACTAAGAAATACAGAACTTAGTACTGGTATCCAGTTTTCTCATCGAAAGCTTGTTGGGGAGAGCTCTGGTAGGTCTTGGGAGCCAGGTACTGACGGCTGGTGGCGGCAGACTGCTGGGAGTACTGGCCTTGGTGCGATCCGAAAGAGTTGGAGCCATGAGATCCGAAAGAGCTGGAGCCATGAGATCCAAAAGAGTTGGAGCCCTGAGATCCGAAGGAGTGAGATCCCTGTTGAGATCCGAAGTGAGAGCTAGGAGCGGAGTACTGCTGAGCTACACCATGGGCGGCACCGTGACCAGCACCGTGAGCAGCTCCATGAGAAGCACCGTTTCCATTGTATTGCTGCTGGCTACGGAAGTTCTGGCCGCTAAAACCTGTAACGTACATGGATCATTAAAAAATTAGATTTCGATTATCGTGTCTTAATTTATTAATTATTTCTGACAAAAGTTACAGTATCCACAAAGTGGTACTGTGGACTACAAATTTAATGTAAAGTTCGAGAGCATCGACACTTTTATGTAGTAGTACTGTTATAAAAAATCGTCTCATTGAGTCTTTACCGTTCAGAGAGCCAGCGAACTGAGGAGCACCCTGAGCGCCAGAAGGTCCATGGTTAGGTGGCAGGTACTGGTTGGAGGTGGCACCAGAGTAACGAGCACCAGCGTTGCGGCCTTGCAGACCTGCTCCAGCAGCGCCGAAGGCACCAGAGTTAGATCCGAATGACCCATGAGAGCCGGAGCCGGAGCCAAAGCCTCCGTTGGAGCCGAAGGACGACCTCGCGACTCCGATAGAGTTGTCGGGAGGAAGGTAGGAGCGTTCCAGGTGTTCCAGACGACCGGCAGCGGCCACGGCGACGAGAGCGGCGATCACGAACTGGAATGTTTAAAATATGTTTAATTATACCATAATCAAACAATTCAAAATTAGCTTAGTTTTCACTTCAAAGATTTTGAAGTCGATTATTATTAATTTTTGGATTTTATCACTTATTTTCATTGGTTATACTTTATAACAATTGTTCTTGAGACATATTTTATTTGATTACAATTTTATTATTTTAAATCTCAAACACAATGTATTATATCAAACAAAATATTTACCAGTTTCATGTTGTAGTAGTTAGGTGGGTAGGTGCAGTGGAGTAGCAATGAAAGATGCTTAGATTGTACTGTGATACTGCAACTCGACTGATCCATTATATACCGGCCACCGATCCTGAATCAGCTGACGTCACCTCATAAACCAAACTAAATGATAGGCTAAGTAATTAGTTTTAAACATTTTGAGCTACTGAACGTGATTGACCTCGACTGTCAAATTTCACTGTGATCATCATGCCCAAGGATTTCTAGTAATGTGGATGGACAAAGGACCAAGATGAGTAGTTTGTTGGTACGCAAAATATCTGCATAGGAAGGGGGTTTGGTTTGTTATTTCATTGATTGATCCGTTCGTGTTTTTTTTCGTCAAACTAGCGGTGCAAGTCATGACTGTAATAAGTCGAATATATAGTATCACGATGTTATCCTAAAGTGTCATGTCACGATTTCGGATATTTCGGTGGTTATTGTTTTAAGTTTGACAAAGATCTACTTCTAAATTATTTATTTGTCAATATATTCCATAATTGGGTACTTGCCAACTAGTCAAATTCAATACTTTTTTCGGACTCTCAAAAACGACAGTTTTCTATGAATTTTGTCCGAAATTGTGTGTTGTGACTTTACGTTTATTTAGAGTCAAACAGCATACGTATTCGTTAAAAATTTGCTAAAAAAATACTAAAATTTAGTTGGTCATAACAACAATGAGTATAAGTGGGTATTTTTTATATTTTGTCGTCATAACAGTCAAAATAATCTATTTTTGATTAAGGCAAGTATCCAATTAATTGAATTTTTAACGTAACCATGATGTTCAAAAAGACCAATGAAAATGTAACACTAATCAATAAACATATGACTACATTTGGAAAAAAATCCATGATTTTAATGCAAAATTTATTTGAAATTAGAATTCCTAGCCATATAGAATTATGCTGCCTCGTTGGCCGAGTGGTCGCAATTGCGACTGCCGAGCAAGGGGTCTCGGGTTCGATTCCCGGGTCGGGCAAAGTATTACTGGGTTTTTAAAAAAAATCTCAGTGGTAGCACGGAGTCTGGAACTGTGCCCGGTATATAGCAATAGGCTCACCCCCTATTACATGGGACTCATAACATAAATAGTGAAAAGTGGGTGTTACATTGTACAGTGGTATAATGTGCACCTCTGCCTACCCTTTTGAGGATAAAAGGCGTGATGTTATGTTATGTATAGAATTATGATTTAAACTGTCAAACACCAAGCGGTCACCGGTGACCGCGACCTATTGTTCTTTAATTGTGTCTATAAAACCGGTCGTCCACGAGTTAAAATGGCCAGTACTGGCAGAACGGCATAGGCAAAGTCCAGTTAGTTGCGATTGAAATTTAATATAGCTAAAGAAAAAATATATCTCGTTTACGTTATTTGTTCTATTTGCCTGCTATGCAGTATTGTTTATATTGATTATTTGAGTTTCAATGTGAATAAGAGTGTTTTAAAGTTACTATAAGCGGTCATATTAGATTATCACCTTATTAGGTGTTGTTAGATTATCGCCTTTGTATAAATAACCATTCAAAAACAGCAAATTCATAGCCTAATTAAGATGATACCTCATACAATCTTTGAGGAATTATTATGCAAGCAGAGGTAACAGATACTTACATTCACTGTTGTCTGTTATGTTATGGATCCTATTTTATGTTGTACAAATAAAATTTATTACACATATCTATACATAATTATAAATCTGTAGAAGTGTAAATTCTGTACATTGATAATTAAAAAAAAATAGTATGGTGTGATACTAGACATACACCGAACCTATAATGTGATTAAAAAGTTTTTGTCTGTATGTCTGTATGTTCACGTATTACTCAAAAAGTACTGGTCGATGATTACGATGAAACTCATAATATAACATCACGCCTTTTATCCCCGAAGGAGTAGCCAGGGGTGTACATTATGCCACTATACAATGTAACACCCACTTTTAACTATTTATGTTATGAGTCCCATGTAATAGGGGGTGAGCCTACTAGGTACCATATACCGGGCACAATTCCAGACTCCATGCAACTATTGAGGATTTTTTAAAACCCAGTAATACTTTGCCGGACCCGGGAATCGAACCCGAGACCTTTTGCTTGGCAGTCGCAATAGCGACCACTCGGGCAACGAAGCAGTCTTTAATCTGACATAAAAATTAGACAAATAAATAAAAAGTAAAATAATGCCCTCTATTTCTTACTTAGAAAATTTAGAAGGAATTTGCTTATTTACTATGCTCATAAACTGACTCATATATCTAACATTATTTTCGTAGTATCTAAACAGAACATACCTATTACAAATAACACGAAGATCAAAGAAATCGATACGTATCAAATGAACTTGAACATGATATAATTACAATGCAACAGACAGACACGCTAATAGCACTCTTCTTTCGTAATTATATTTCCAAGAAGCTTTTGCAATATATGCTCTATTTTCGATAGGATTTTGTAAAACAACTTTTGCCTTTTTTTCTCCTTGTTGGTACCGAGTCTCCAATTCAGTTTCGTTGATTGTAGTTACATCACATACATCACACAAGTGTGGGAGAGCCATGCTTCGGCACGAATGGGCCGGCTCGACCGGAGTGATACCACGGCCTTACAGAAAACCGACGTGAAGCAACGCTTGCGTTGTGTTTCGTCGTGTGAGTGAGGTTACCGGAGGCCCAATTACCTTCCCCTTTCCCCATTTGCCCCAATCCCTGAATCCCCAACGATCCTCAAACTCCTAATCCCCAAAAAGCTGGTGACGCACTTGTAACGCCACTGGTGTTCCAGGTGTCCATGGGCGACGCCGATTGTTTACAATCAGGTAATCTGTCTGCTCATTTATCGGCTTATGCCATAAAAAACAGCTTATAAATGCCTACTGCTGAGCAAAGCCTCTTCTCCCACGGAGAAGGTTTAATAGAGGTATATAGTATAATCACTTCGCTTGCTGAATGCGAGTTGGCGATTTCAAACTTATAATAAAAAATTATAAACCCCTTCACCGTTCATCAGCTGTGTCTAAATAATCTTAGAAAGTACATATAACTCGGAAAAAGTTACATTGGTATTTGCCGTTGGTAGGTTTCAAACCCTTTATGCATGAGAAGCGGGCGTCTTAAACCTCTGCGCCGCCACGACATTTGCCACTTCAAAAGGCTCACGCACTATCAACCTCACGTCAGCAACCTACTTCAATATGTCAATTTTGACATTGGTTTTTCGACTTAATACCCAAACGATATAGTTTACAATGTAATGGAATAGCGATTTTTGAGTAAAATTACTATTATTAGCCCGAAGTCAAGAAGCTCGACATTTCCATCCCCTAGCTTCGGAAAGCACGTAAAATTGTTGGTCCCTGATCTCTCTTCGGTCGTGTCGGTCTGCCGTCTCATTGGGTTCAGAGAGTGACGCCTAGCTTCACTGACGGACAGACTGACAGACTATTATTTATTTCATATTTGTTGACGTTTCAAAAGTACCAAATTATGGTTTAATTGAAATAAATGCTTTTGAGTTTAAGTTTGAGAGTTTGAGGGAACAGAGAGTGCACCCGTGCGCACACACTTGTGCACTATAACATCTCCTGCGTAGTAGTAGTAAAGTCTAATTGGACTTCAGGAGCTGTAGCCAAATGCCATTTAGCGCTTGTCTACATGTAGAATAGAAAACCAAATTATATTGAATTAACGTAAATTTTGACACTTGTCAGTGTCATCCCCATACATTTAGTTTTCTACTCTCTCTGTAGACAAGCGCTAAAGTGGCATTTGGCTAAAGGCACAGGACTACTGATAACCCTTATGCCAGTAATATTCTGAACATAAAAATAATGTAATTGCAATCTATTGTAAATTAATAATTTACATTCTTATGACACACAAGTCGATACTTTTATTTATTCTTAAAACTAATCAATGAAAGAAATACATTTTTTGTACTATATTTATTCACTTAAAACTTGTACATATTTGAATTTGAATCACTATTAAATTATGCCTTTAAAATTTTCTTCACAAAAGTATTCCTCTTTATTTTATCACAATTATTTGACTAAAATAATTAAGTGCACGGAGCTTCTTAGTAGTGGTATCCAGTTTGTTCGTCGAAAGCTTGCTGGGGAGGTTCCTGGTAGGAGCCGGAGTTAGGAGCCAGGTACTGACGGTTGGTGGCGGCAGATTGCTGGCCGTACTGACCCTGGTAGTTAGCACCGAAGGAGTTAGGCTGGTACTGTTGAGGAGCTTGGAAACCGTTGTACTGCTGGCCACGGTAGTTTTGAGCTCCAAATCCTGAAGAACGTAAAAGATAATTTAGTTTTACACCACTTTAGCCTTCTGGCCTAATCATGCTTGTTCTCGTGTACTGAAATAAATATCGTGAACCAGAATGTTGAAGAATATATTCTCAAAACCACACAAAACGTTTTCTTTGATAATGTTATATGCCAAATATGCCTGCACCTAGCTTCACCTAGTTTCACTGACGGACTGACTGACAGACTATTATTTATTTTGTATTTGTTGACGTTTCAAAAGCACCAAACTATGGTTTAATTGAAATAAATGCTTTGACTTTGACTTTGACTTTATGTTTCTTGCTTATGTTTTCCTGGAGTTGGCAAGCACTAAGCAGCAATAAACTGGTATTACTTTTTATTAAGATACCTACCAGTCTAGTAGCTATAGCCAACCCAACCTTTTGTAGTAAAATATTGTATTTTTGCACAAAACAATTAACGAAATTCAATTAACTATGGGCTTACCATTGGATCCAGAGGGTCCATGGTCAGGAGGTAGGTATTGGTTGGAGGTAGCACCAGGGAAAGCGTGGCCGACGTTTGAGTCTACACCAGCTCCACCAAATCCAGAGTTACCTCCGAAGGAACCCTGAGCGCCTTGACCACCAACACCTCCTTGGAAAGGAGGGAGGTAGGCGCGTTCCAGGTGCTCCAGGCGAGCTCCAGCAGCCACGGCGACGAGAGCGGCGATCACGAACTGTAGAAATGAGTTTAAATGTTAGTTGTTGTGACGTCATTGTTATATCGACCACTAGATATCCACTGCTGAACATAGACCTCTCAAAATGACATCTAGATGGATGAATTAGGAACGACCTGCATCCTGTGGCTATCCAATGACTCAAACTTTAAGTATTGTGTCTATCTTGTGAGTGAACTTCATGTGCACCGATATTATACAAAAATAAAATAATGCCAATGTTTATGATGAAAGTTTTCAATCTGTTTCAGAAAATTACAGAAGAACTGTTAGGACTTTGTGACTGATTTCAATCTTAACAAAAAACATTGAGTTTTCAAATAGAAAAATAAAATATAATAATTTGATAATAGTCACTTTTATTGTTTTAACTTCACAGAAATAAAATAAGAACAAATAAAAATTACCAGTTTCATGTTTCTTGCTGATCTTGGTTGGTACACTCAAAGCAAAAATGGTTGAAGCTCAGATACAACTGTGATACTACGACTCGACTGACCCATTATATACCACCTACTGTCGATCCTGAACACACGCGTCTGACGTCATTTTATAGCTCAAATAATAAACCATAGCTATGATACCTCATGTAATTAAATTGAAGCAGTTTTATGCTACCAAACGTGATCGACCTCGTATGTCAAAATTTCTCTGTAAATCAAGGATTTTATTGTTTATACACGAGGATGTTAGCAGTAGTCGTGACCCTAAAGTAGGTGATGAGTCCATATCTGTTTACAGTAGTAATAAATTATTTGAATTTAATTAATTTTAACAAAATGGTGGCTTTTGTTCGGTTCATGAGCATGAGCAAAAGACACGAGGAACAATTAGCAATTTCTATTTTTTTTTTTTTTTTCTTCTTTGGCGATCGAGTCTCCAAAATGGTGTTGTCGACTATACTGCCAGTATCATTTCTATATTTTTTACACTGCTTTGGGATCTGACGTTGTCATATTGGGTGGTAAAACATATTCACCCATATATATTTAATAAGGAATTACTTAATAAACTATCAAAAACTGATTTGAGTCTATGTGCTTGATGTCAACAATCCATATATCCCCAAGTGGACACCGGTGACCACTCTCCACTAACTACATTATAGATCTTATTTCCAATGTTTAGAGACTGCTTTTGTATGAACAAATTTAGCGTTGATTTAGGAGGAATGAGTTTATAACCAAACTTTTTAATTGCGTCATCTAGTAATTGTGTAATCATTGAATTTCATCTACAAAGACGTATTCAAAATATTGAATCCCTATTTACGTATAGTTTTTGGATAATTATGTTCTTTCAAAGAAAAATAATAATTTCTTAATCACCCAAGATATCTTATTTTGATTGCATGTTCATTATAATTGTATAATGAGATGAATGGTACAACATTTATATTCTAATATCATTTACTTCTATGAGTACAGTCACAGTAAAAATATTATAGAGCTTTAGAGGTATTTTATACTTTAATTTTTGACTGCCTCGTTGGCCGAGTGGTCGCAAGTGCGAATGCCGGGCAAGGGGCTTCGGATTTTAAAAAATTCTCAGTAGTAACACGGAGTCTGGAATTATGCCCGGTATATAGCAATAGGCTCACCCCCTATTGCATGGGACTCATAACATAAATAGTGAAAAGTGGGTGTTACATTGTACAGTGGCATAATGTGCACCTCTGCCTACCCCTTCAGGGATAAAAGGCGTAATGTTATGTTATGTTATGTTAAATTTTTGACAGTTTAGTAGGCGAAGTAAGCATATAAAACAATAGGCATTTTGCAGTTCAATCGATAACTAAATTAAGTGATTTAAATACGCATATTGAATTCTGATAAGACAGACTAATTTGAAAAGAAAAGAATCTTAAATATTTAATAAATGAATAGAGAAATAAATCGCGCTGTTATATCCAAGCAAACACACAACACGATGCATAATAAAATATTGACCACTAGCGACCCGCCCCGGCTTCGCACGGGTGCAATGTGCATGTAACTATTATACATACAAACCTTCCTTAAGAATCACTCTATCTATTAAAGATCTAAGCATACATAGGGACAAACAGACGGTGGATCAATCATCAACATCCTATAAATGCCCACTGCTGAGCAAAGCCTCTTCTCACACGGAGAAGGTTAGAGCATTAATCACCACGCTTGCTCAATGCGGGTTGGCGATTTCAAACTTATAATTAGAAATTATAAGTCCAGGTTTCCTCACGATGTTTTTCCTTCACCGTTTGTCAGTGGTGTCTAAATAATCTTAGAAAGTACATATAACTCGGAAAAAGTCACATTGGTACTTGCCGTTGGTAGGTTTCGAACACGCACCCTCATGCATGAGAAGTGGGCGTCTTAAACCTCCGGGCCACCTCGACAAGACGGCGGATAGCGAATTTGTTTTATACTATGTAGTGATAAATCAAACAATAATTTCGTTAACTTTCTTCGAATGAATACAATTTTCTTAATTCAGTAAGTATTTTATTTTTATCCCTGCCTGTACCTACACATGTATACATATTATATACCTACAAAATTCTCCTTTGATCGCATAGTATGTTAAAAGAGCTACAACTAATTGATTTTCATTCATCACAGCAATTAATATTTGGACACGGTTCGTATCAAACAAAATGTTACGTTTTTATTGTACGTTTTTTTTTATAAATAAACACCTGCCTTATAATCGGTCGCCATCTTTTCTGGTGTTTTTTTTTAAATTCTTATACCTACTTTATAGTTTTTGGCTGTATTGTTATAGGGTTCTTTGGGTAAATGTCTGAAATCGTCAAGTTATATACTATTTTCGAACCATAGTGTACGTAAGTACGTATAGTACACTGCATGCGTAGGTATTTTGTGTTTGTAATTTTTTGTGATTAGTTGAAGTAGTTTGACTGCGCCGGCCGAGTGCGATTGCCGGGCAATCGGTCTCGGGTTCAATTCCCGGGTCAGGCAAAGTATTACTGGGTTTTAAAAAAAATCTCAGTAGTAACACGGAGTCTAGAATTTTGCCCAATATAGCAATAGGCTAACCCCCTATTACATGGGACTCATAACATAAATAGTGAAAAGTAGGTGTTACATTGTACAGTGGCATTAACTGCCGTAATGTGCAACTCAGGCTACCCCTTCGGGGATAAAAGGCGTGAAGGTTATTTAGTTGAACCCTTCAAAAGATGCCTAGCTTCTGGGGCGTGTGGGTTTTTTGTATCATTGAAACCATCTTAGTGATCACCATCATCAGCACCTTTAAGGGGGCCACTAGATCAGCTCCAGATTCCTCACTACCTATGCAAAACTTGTTACGGCTCATAGCGAGGGAGAATAAATTACTTACTAATAGGCTACGGAATCTTTATTCCGTAAATAATAATCATGCTTTGCTTTACAATTTTTTTATTTAATTCATTAATGACGTAGTTTCAATCAAATTTCAAAGTACGTATTGATTCATCAATCGGTTCCTTTGTACCTATATAAGCGAAATATATCGTATACATTGGCTAGTTGAATTGTGCTCAGGTGGTTTATTTTTTAGTAAACGTTTTGTGTTTCGTTATTTTTAACCGATTTCAAAAAGAAAAAGGGTGTTCTCACATTGACCTGATGCCTTAATACCAGAGCGCTTACTCTTGAAACCTATCTCAATGTCAATGCAATTTCAATCCAATAAAAATCTCAATAATGATTCAATGTCAACACTATACAACCCCTATCGTAGCTGTTACAATAGCATTCAGAGTACGGAATATAAAGCCAAATTCGATATCATTTAGTTCATTCAATATCCACGCAATACGGATGTAATGGACGCTAGTATTGCAACTCGAGAGTACGAAATTTCACAATACCAATGTCGATCGATCGGAATTGGATTCACAGTTTGTTTTACGTTACAAGTAATCGAAACGAGACTGCATTCGGCGGTCTGATTGGTTGGTTCATTGGAGCCGGCCAATCAGAATACTGAACGCGTACTCATTTCGAATACTTAAAACGTAAAACAAACTCGTACTAAGGCCTCTCTCTCTCTCTCTCTCTCTCTCTCTCGATAGACTGAACTCTTTTGCAAGCGGTTTTCACTAAAGTGTTTATTGTTACAGTTAGGAAAAGGTTTTAATATAACATAACATCCCGCCTTTTATCCCCAAAGGGAAAGCAGAGGTGCACACAGAAGTAACACCCACTTTTCACTATTTATGTTACGAGTTCCATGTAATAGGATATAATTATGATTCCAAAAAAATGTTAAGTGAATGGTTAAAAACTCTCTCTTACCACGAGACTGAGGCACTTCTTCAACACCTACATTGACACCTACTACAAACTATTGATAGTACAATACATGTACATGTTTCACACAAATATTTATGTACGTACCTACTATTTTTAAACTATTTCATCATCTTATTTATTTATTTATTTATGTACACACAGAATAGACAGTACAAATCATATATCCGATATATTATTTTTGTAATTTAACTTAACACCTTTACTAAATTCAAACTTAGTCCTTAAATTAGAATAAGTTAGTAATGTTTGTATTTGTATTTATAGATATTAACTATGTATGTACGTCTTGTTGTGAAAGAGCGGAGTTTCCTAACACAGGCATATCTTGCTTAAAAGGAGGCTCCAATCACAATTTATAGATTCCGTAATCTGTTTTTACAAATAAACGATTTTTATTATTATTATTTATTATAATAGGGGGTGAGCCTATTGCCATATACCGGGCACATTTCCAGACTCCATGTTACTACTGAGATTTAAAAAAAAAACCAGTAGTACTTTGCCCGACCCAGGAATCGAACCCGAGACCCCCAGCCCGACAGTCGCACTTGCGACCATTCGGCCATCGAGGCAGTCAGAAAAAGTTTTAGTATATCAATTAACCGAATTAAGAAAAGAAGGCGTTGAAGTCGGTTTTTTTAAACGTAGTTAAGAAATATTTATTTTATGACGTATTTTTTTTTAAGGAGGGAAAATCATCGAATGACTTCTCCCGCCTGGGTGAGGCGGAAGGGAGTGTCAGACTCTTACTGACTAAAAACCACCCCGTTCCTTCTCCTGCACGTCGAGCCGGGGCCCCGGTTACCCGTTAGGTTCTCCGCGACATTTTATTACGTATTAAAACTGCTATAACATGGGCTAATGACATAGATAATGTTAACTGGTGCTAAACATGAGGACAATAAATAGCCGCATGCCCTGAAGAATAAAGTCATCATCACCAGTACAGTTAGATTATAGGTTCTCTAATATGAAAATTCTCTCTCTTTATTATTTAAGACAAACATTTTGATACTAGATATTAAATAGACAATAATAGTTATAGCTTTAACCTTACATTCACCGAACAGAACGTAAAATAATTTCAAAACTCAATCAGATCGTCGAATAAACAATACTTGGCTGTAAATCGATCAAAGTGAATTTGCGAAAGATTTCTGCGATCGGAACTAAGCAACTGAGCATTCGACATCGATAAAATATAAAGAAAAAAGAAGAAAGAAAAACATTTATTTAGCACCAAACACGATGCAGCATAAATAAAAAATAAAAAAACACAATCAATTTGTGACAGTGGAAGTAATAAAAATATAAGAGTTGAAAAATTGAAACAGAAGAATTAGAAAAGAGACGCTGACAACATGCCTATGCTGAAAGGGTCACCCACTCAGTATAAGCCAGGCATACAGGTTACCCAGCACTGATTTTCAGTGGGCACTCACCCACCCATAAATGTTTCCTCTATCTGCTTCATTGGTGGCATAAAGAGTTTCTCTGCCTACCTGTAGGGTTTAAAAGGCATGTCGTTACAACTTTTAGTGGTGGATTTGTTGCTTTAAAGTGGAGACAAAATGGAAAAAGGTATTATTTTATTCGCAAATTCAATTAGAGATTGGCAATATTCTTTTAAATTAAAAATTCTGGTTTCCTTGTGATGAAGAAAAACTCCTTCACTTTATTTCAGTGGTATGAAAATAAACTTAGAAAGCAGTTACTCGGCAAAAGTCACATGGGAAATCTTTATATACCTCTATATAATTCTGCTGTACATGTGTATGTCATTGAACTCCTCCTAAACGGCTTGACCGATTTAAATGAATTTTTCTGTATACGTTTGAGTGGCGCCCTGGATGGTTTAGATTCACAAATCTGCCCGGCAGATGGCGCTGCAGTCGGTAACTAGGTTACTTATCTATACCTATTATTATATTATTTTTATTATATTATATGCAGGACAACGTCTGTCGGGTCCGCTAGTTACTATATAAGAATAAGAAGAAGCATAAAGTGTATTTCAGAAACAAAATAGTACAGTCTGTTTTTTATTTCCTGGTCATCACACTAAGGTTGGGTTTAGAATCGCGCTGACCGTCGGCGAAGGCAGCCGAAACGTATGAACTTCTGTAAAGCATTTTAGTATAATGCGTGTCTCGGTTAGCTCTGACGGATAAAGTTATGGCTTGGACGTCGTTTATCAATCTACCCGCTGTGCTATGAGCGCTGAGTTCAGCGTGAGACTAAAGTCAGCCTAACATTCCATGTCGTGAGATCTATGCTCCTTAACTCCATTTGCAATATAATTTTTAATAATATGAGTTTTGAAAAAAAGTCTATAATTCTTCTAGTCTTTCTTCGTTATTGACTTCATTGTGTTTGTATTTACCTAATTGAATGTACAAGGCATGTAACGTTTTCTAGTAAATCTGATTCATTGGTTATCACATGAAGCTCATCTCCACGTACTGATGTACGAGTACAACCTTGACGTAATTGAAACAAGGGCAGGTTAACAATAAAACATTACATTCTTTTAAAATATTGTATTACGTTTTACGTATTGTATTACTATTACATAATATTACACCATGGTTACTGTTTCTTGAGATCTAAAAGAGGTGTTGTTAGCCTCTTTTTATTTATTTTCACTTTCATCATCATCATTATCATCATATCAGCCTCAGGACGTCCATTGCTGAACATAGGCCTCACATTTTCATTTTGTGCTATTGTAATTAATATGTATGTAAAGTATAATTTTGTATTTTGGCAGTTATCGTTTCTATTGATTTTGTTTTTAACATAGCATAAAATCACGCCTTTTATCCCTGAAGGGATAGGCAGAGGTTCACATTATGGATAACGTAACACCCACTTTTCACTATTTATGTTATGAGTCCCATGTAATAGGGGGTGAGCCTATTGACATATATCGGGCACAATTCCAGACTTCGTGCCACTACTAAGAATTTTTTAAAACCCAGTCATAAGAACTTTGCCCGACCAGGGAATCGAACCCGAAACCCCTTGTCCGGCAGTGGCACTTGCGACCACTCGGCCAACGAAGCATTCTTTTATAGTCAAGCTTTTATATTAATTTTATTATTGATATCATGCTGTGCTCCGAACAGCGTTACCGTAGGTGTATAATTAGTACGTACTACTACGTGCTGGTGCTGAAAATCAGCGCCGAGGACTCTAGCCTCTGTGCCCGGTGCATAGTATTAAGATGAGCTTCAACCTTTTGCGCTGCGACGCACCATGGGCTTTTTTGCGTGTACCTAAATTCTTGTTGTGTGTCGTGGCGTAATAAATGGTTTTTCTTTCTTTCGTTATTTTCATAGGAGACGTTTTTTACTCAAAGACGGTGCCAAAAAAGCACGTAACCCACCTGATGATAAGTGGTGTAAATCAGTAAGTTTACTATTGCTAAACGTATTCCATAATTATTCATATACGAATGATTTTACGAATGAATTATCGTTTTTTCTTCTCTTCTAATAATATCTTCTGATTTATTTCGTTGCCGAATCCATGAGAGTTCATGATTCATGACGCACAGGCCGGACTTCAGTGTTTCGGTATTCTCATTGTTGTTACAACTGTAGATGCTAGCTTACAGGAGTTTTTGAAGGTTGTGGTAGGCTAGTGCCATTTAAAAAAAATAGGAATGAATGGACTGAACCTTGGTATTATTTTGGCTGCTAAACTCGAGGGTGACTATACAAACAAAGCAAGTAGTGCCTTATTGATAGAGTGATGCAACACGTGTACAATCGCGTTGAATCATTTGAAAACTTAGAAAAGTTTGGGCCTTAAAATTGTGTCCAGAGTATGGTTATTTATTTAAAATGGGGGTTTCATAATTATACATACTTACATACTGACTCTGTGTATCTTTTGGTCCACATTCGTTCAAAATGAGGGTTTCATATATACTGACTCTGTGTATCTTTTGGTACACATCTGTTCAACTAAATGCAATGCGTTAATCGCAAAATTATTCAAACTGCACATTCATAACGTCCTTCAAGGCATCGTATAACAATTCTGTTCGCTCCCTTTCATCTGTATCGCATCAGAACAGAAAGTAGGTACTCTAGTTTTTTGATATTGTTTTTTCAAGTAAAACTACAAGGCTTCGATGCGATGTCATCCAATATTATTACTCTTAATGAGTTTCAACTTTACACGTACTCATATAAAAGTCGCAGGAATCATTGGATGCGACACAGTTGGCTTCTTATAGTGAAAACTTGAACACAAAAATATGAAACTGGTACGTGTTTAGTTAATAGAAAAAATAATAGAAAATCTATTGAATACAATAAGTTTTCAAAAATACGTATTAGAAATCAAAATGTTTCGATAAAACTCAAACCAGTGCATTGTTAACGTAGGGGCTAAGCAATCACGCTGCTGGCTACTGTCTACAAATTGTTATCCGGGGGCTGCTTATAACTTTAGAAATGAATCTGAAAAATGTAGAAGAAATGAAACTGTCTAAGACGCGTTTGTTTCAAAAAACTTTAATATTATTTTTGTTCCTTTCGCAGTTAATCATCACCACACTCTTCGCTTTGGGAGCAGCCCAAGTCCCATCAAGAAACTACATCCCACAAAGTCAAGGTCACGGAGGGCAAGGTGGCTTCCAAAGTTACCAGGGATCCCAAATAGACCCTGGATTCAATCTTGGTGGAGCTGGTGGTGGAAACCGACGACCTCAACAGGATGCTGAAAAGAATGCTGCTACTTTGAAACAAGATCAAGATGTTAGTGAAGATGGAAGTAAGAAACGGTTTTCATAGTATACTACTGATTTAAACACTGGGCTGATTTTGAAGTCATTGCATGAAGATTGTACCTTAGCCTAACTTCAAATACTAGCCGATTTGAAAGTTATTAACAAAATCCATTTTAAATTAATATCTAAAGTTTAGTTTATTGAGCAAAATAAATTTAGTGGTAGTGGTTTTTGACTTTAGACCATCCATGAATGAATGGTTAAAATCTCTTTAGTAAAGTTATGATTTATAATTCCTCTAAAGAATTGTACGCCATTGAAGATAATAGAGAACATCATTCAAATGTGAAGGGATTTTTAAGCTATAACATAACCATAAACACTTCCATTGAACACCCATCGAATTCATTTGTATTGTTTACTTCAATATTGTGATCGCCCAAAGCCAAACGGATGAAGGTATTATTTTGAATTCGTGCCTCGTTTGTAGTTCACGAAACAATAATGAAAGTGCCCTTGCGATAATCTTCATATGTCAAGGTTTTTAATTCTCATACGTGAGTATTCTAAATTAGTTCATTTACGTTTTCTTGTTATGCTACAAAAGCTCCAATTAATATCTGTTTTCCGACAATAGGTGATGTAAATAGCACTATATCGTTTCCTGATAAGGTGTCTTTTGCAATGTAGGATTTCCTATCTTTTGAAGATTTATCAAAGGGTCTATGATATGTGTAATTGGTTATTGTAAAAATGACGTACATCATGAGTATGGTTGGTCTAAACATTTACGTACTATTGGGTTTCAGCTATAGAATAGTATCAATCCTATCAAACTTCTATATTATCGAAGTTATTTCTTTTTTTAAACTTTACTCCACATTTGGATTTTCTCCTATGTCGTGAGTTCGTTTACAAACATACAAGTTCACATACACAATGACAACCATATCCGAAACAGCAATTTGTGGATCACAAAAAGTGTTGTTCCGTGCGGGAATCGAACCCGCGACACGTTGCACGGCAGCCGGTTGCCCAGCCACCGCACCAACCATGCAGTCACACAGTCACAGAGTCGAAGTCAATTATTACCCATTCATGTTTTACTTTCCATAGGCTACCACTTTGGATTTGAAACTTCAAACGGCATCCGAGCTGAAGAAGCTGGTAACCCAGTCGAGGCCCAGGGTGGATTCTCCTACAAGGGTGATGATGGGCACACATACACCGTCACCTACACCTCAGGAGAAGGTGGTTTCAGACCTCAGGGTGAACATCTGCCAGTTCCACCTCCCACTCCTGAAGCTATCCTGGAAGCATTGAGGAAGAATCAACAGGATGAGGCTGCTGGTATCTTTGATGATGGTGAGTATAGGAGTAGTAGTGGTAGATCCATATTTAATAAAGCAGAATTTATTTTACCTTTTATTTCTAAGCAGTTATACAAAGTTTAAACCAAATTTTACGGGTTTTTATTTGGTTTGTACACACAACATTGGCATTTACTACCCCGTATAATGACGTGATTTGCAGATATTCTCTACTTACCGAGGGGGTATTGAGATGCTAAACATACATTTGGCTGTATTCAACTATTTACATACTAATGCAACTAAGAATGATCTAAATAACATGTTAACTAAGTTCAAAGACTCAAAACCCTCCGGAAATTTGTCCTGATATCACATTTATTTATGTGAAATTACAAAAATTCTTCTCATTCCCAGGTAAATACCACCCAGAACAACATGGAGGTGGTCAGCACAACGGATTTGGATCTGCGAATCACCAGGGTGGCTTCAACGCCAATAGTGGTTATCAATACTGATTTGATTACCCTACTCTCTCTGATATTTGTCAATGCATTGGATTTTACGATCTATGATAAAGAGTACAAGTATCATTTTTCTAAACTCTAATAAAGATTTCATGTCTATAATATTGACAAATACAATAAAACTGCAACAAAACTGATTTTTAATTGTGCAATAGTATTTAAAGTCTAGATTAAGTAGTTATGCGATGTTAATCTATAGAAAATGTGAATAAAAATGTAAGAATGATTATATAAAGAAGATCACAGCAAACTAAGATATTTCATTTAAATATCCATAAAAACTTTTACATGTAGGTATGTTGATTGTTTAATTTTGCGCCATCTGTGTTACAAACAACGAATTACTTTAGTTTGTAGCCGTCATCTAAAGTGCCTAGAGGTCACTTGTAAAGATCAAATACTGTAAAATAGATAAATGAACTAACTGATTTAGGTTGTTACCTTCTAATTCTACTAGAGGTCGCTAGTAGATAATGTACAAATATTTTTTAAATAGTAACAATTAGATATGCAGATTCTTACACACAATAATAATTTTTGGTGGCAGATTGGAGTGAAATGTAGGAAAGGAAATCAGTTTATTAAACATAGGTACTGTACAATGTAACACCTATTTTTCACTATTTATGTTATAAGTCCCATGTAATAGGGGGTGAGCCTATTGCCATATACCGACAATTCCAGACTCTGTGCTATAACTCGTATTTTTTTTAAAACCCAATAATACTTCGCCCAACCCAGGAATCGAACTCGAGACCCCTTGAAAGAAAGAGAAAGAAAGAAAGAAAAAACATTTATTCAGCACCAGGCACGATGCAGCATAAACAAAACATAAAAAAGATAATAAAGGAGTGACAGTGGAATTAATAAAAACATAAGAGTTGAAAAATTAAAACAGAAGAATTAGAAAAGAGACGCTGACAACATGCCTATGCTAAAAGGGTCACCCACTCAGTATAAACCAAGCATACAAGTTACCCAGCACTGATTTTCAGTGGGCAGAGCCTGGCAGGCCTTGCCCGGTAGTCTTTTTTTAAGGGATATAATAAAAAGAATAAAAATACGATAAGCCGGTCAACGAGAAGTCGGATTCCCTGATGGTAAGCAATCGGCGCCTAAAACACCAGAGGCGTTACAATTGCATTACCGGCCTTCTAAGGATTAGGAATTGTTTGGAATTGGGATTGTAGGGAATTTGTGGATTGGGGAGATTGGAGAGAGGTAATTGGGCCTCTGGTAACCTCACTCACACGATGAAACATCGCAAGCGTATGTAGCAATGATATATATAAATGATATATATATAAATTATGACAATTTATATATATCTATTTCTAGCAGTCTTTTTTTTTTTTTTAAGGGGGGAAAATCATCGAATGACTGCTCCCGCCTGGGTGAGGCGGAAGGGAGTGTCAGACTCTTACTGACTAAAAACCACCCCGTTCCTTCTCCTGCACGTCGAGCCGGAGCCCCGGTTACCCGTTAGGTTCTCCGCGACTCCGAATCGGCATCGGCCCTATTGGGCCCCATCTGTGGTGGTCTGATGGCTCTTTGAGGCGCGCGCGGAACGCGACGCGCCGTACGCTCGGGTCTGTTTCTGGTCGAACGGGGAGCCACCCATGCTCGCCGTCCGCAGGCCCGCGCTTACGGTGGCCGGAGATCGTCCCGCGATCCCCGACGCCCGGTGTGTCCTTCGCGATGGCTGGGTTGCGAGGAGGCAGCGCTTCGCTGCCTCACGCGTCCCGCCTCCTCCTTAGCTAGCATGACTGCTTCGCAAAAGGAGGAGACGGCATCCCAGTCCCCCTCGCTCCGCATCATGGCCTGCACTAGGCCCGGACGCGAGAGGTCGCCATCGCCGATCACTTCCCTGAGGGCACGGCGGTGCTCAGCCCACGCAGGGCATTCTCCCACTGTGTGTTCCACCGCCTCAGGGCGGCCCTCGCAGTGATGACACCCGGGCGTTTCCTCCCGCCCCATCAGACACAGGTACCTCCCGAAACTTCCATGTCCGGTGAGGACCTGCGTCAGGCGGTAGGTGAGGACGCCGTAGCGTCTCTCAAGCCACTCCTCAAAGAGGGGACTTACCGCTGCAATGGCAGCGAGCCCAATTTCTAGCAGTCTAATCCAGCAATAGAGTGGTTATTAAAAAGAAGAACTATTGCTTTTCATTAAAACAAAACATAACATCACGCCTTTTATCCCCGAAGGGGTAGACAGAGGTGCACATTATACCACTGTACAATATAACACCCACTTTTCACTATTTATGTTATGAGTCCCATGTAATGGGTGGTTAGCCTATTGCCATATACAGGGAACATTTGCAGACTCCGTGCTCCTACTGAGATTTTTAAAAACCCAGTAATACTTTGCCCGACCCGGGAATCTTTTCATTAAAACTATCATTTAAATTCATTTAGGCGTTGCTACAGTTTTTACAGACCTGCTACAGGTGTAACCTACCATTGCTAGTATTTTTTTTCTTCTCTAATAATATCTTCTGATTTATTTCATTGAGGGATCCAAAACAGTTATTCATGTTCCTGAGACGCGCCAGACTTCAGAGAGAGTACCGGTGTTTTGATGGTATCTTCTATAAATCCTGGCTTGTAGGAGTTGCAGTGATTTGAGAGATTGTAGCGGGCTTGTCCCAATAAAAAAAATACCTGCTACAGAACAACTATTTAGTTTTTACACGAAAAAATGTGTTGAGCAGAAATTGTACCCAGTCATTGCGCAAACCAAGTAGTTTTTTAAAAATCACCGTAAGTGTAACGTAACAGTTGAGATGGTTATGTTATATATCAGAATGCTAGTATAATCCTCATGTCAAGGCCATAAAGCATGTTCACATAAGTTGCAAATAATAATTCATTTTTTGCGCTTATAATCTCTAAATCTTCTCAATTATGTGCACGTGTAATGTAGTGTTACGTACAAAATCTGTATGAATGCCGTACATTGTTAGAAGTTGTATCTACATTTTGTAGTACAAATTGTTAGTTGGTTGGTTGTTCTGAGAATGGATTATTATTAAACAGGATTAGAAAACTGAAGTGTCGACAACCGATGATTACTGCGGTAGACGTGACCAGTAGAGCCTGCGTCTAGACAAAATGTCGTGTAGGGCGATAATATCTACAAGATGGCCGGTAATCGCTGGGTATTTGTAGAGTTGAAGATCAAGGTCAATGGCGTGCTTTTGAAGAAGCCTATGTTCTATTATGGGTCGAAGATGATGTGTAATGATAAAGTAATATACCATAAATAATTGATGGTACATTTAGTGAGTTACCTTAAATTATATTCGGTACAAAGTGATCGTTGCCGTTATTAGGTATCTGATCTTTGTTTTAATCTTGATGATTAGGGTGAACAAGTAAAACAAGAAAGTAAATTATAGAAAAAAGTATAAGTTTTTATTCATAGAATAAATAAGTCGCATCCTTCACAACTCACTGGTAACCATTATGACTATCAGATTACACATACTACGACACTTTCCTATTATCATACTCCATTTTTATTGATATCCATTTTAATTTTAGTATCTGTAAGCATATTTTGTTAAACGAGAAATACAGTAAGAAAATCAAACATTTAAATTCAAATATCACAATTATAAAATTCACAAAATGTACTTACAGAGAAGCCTCATGAAAATTAAGTAAAGCATTTTTCATGTCATTACATTCTGCATTTGTTTTATCGTCAAATTCCTACACTGTGTTACTAGTGTGCGTGCTTGACCTTCACATTTTTGAAATGCGAACACCAATTAGATTGTTACGTTACAGGTGTGTGTGCAATGCAAATGGCACAAAAGTTGCTCTACTTATATTTTTTGTTTTATAAAATGAAATATAGCTAAATACTGATATGTTATGGTCATGCTTAGTATTTGTAAGTTTGTCTGTATCCAGCCTGTGCTCTAGCGAACTGGGGTTGTTGGTAGGCGGCACCAGCGCTGGCGGCGTCACCGTATTTGCCAGGGTTGTACTGACCTGGAATCGGAAAGTAAAATCATTAAATAAAGATGTAATATTATATAATAAAAGTAAAGTTTCATACAACTGAAGATAGTTTGGTGTGACTGTACGCATAACTTAATTTTTTTTAAAGTTAATTTAAGTTAAATAATTCCCATTTTTGCCAGTTATATTATTATGAGTTCCATATTGCACCGTGTTATTACTAGAATAATCATTTTAGACAATAGCCCATAAACGAAGATTAACTATTAGAATTCACCACAGCAACATTTTACACCATATTCCTAATAAAACACATGTTGCCAGATATTTTATACCTACTATAGTAAATTGCCATAAAACATTATGGGTGTATTAAACTAAAGTTCAAAGCTTTCGTTCATTTGATAGATTACTAACATCGTAAATGTTACAAGATTGCAACAAGACTGTGTAATAACATTACCGGCTTATTAGGTAAATGGAAAGCACATTCTCTTGGAATTAACAGCGATTAAATGGCATTCGAGCTTTTCAAAAAGGGTTTTTTTATCAGGCTGTCCTGCCACAGCCTCCCAAAACCACTGCCAATTCTTTGAACCACGATCTAGTAGATACAACCATGAAAACACCGGAACACTGGAGTCCGGCGCGGCCCAGATAAATGAATAACTGTTTTGGATCTCGCAACGAAATAAATCAGAAGATATTATTAGAGGAGAAGAAAAAAAAACGAAATTAATGGATAGGATATACCCATGGACACCTGGAACCCCAGAGGCGTTACAAGTGCGTTACCAGCCTTTTGGGATTAAGAATTCAAGGATTGGGGAATGGGGGGGGGGGTAATTGGGCCTCCTATAACCTCACTCACACAACGAAACACAACGCAAGCGTTGTTTCACGTCGGTATTCTGTGAGGCCGTGATATTTCTCCAGTCGAGCCGGCCTATTCGTGCCGAAGCATGGCTCTCCCACACTTAAAATCCAATGTATATCTAATAATGTCAAACAAGTTTAACACAATCTCACTACATTGACTACATCCGGCTAGAATGAACGATACAACTTCATCTCGCGAATGTCAAAGATGCCGACCGTCCGTCGCGAATCAGCACAGTGTACATGACCTTAGAATCTCCGTGGGACAATCCCTTCACTGCACTGACCTATTGTTCAGTAACACAGTAGCTATTATCCTCAACGAACTTATGTTCCCGTAGATTATCGATAACAACTTTAATAACACGACAATGTGCGTTAAATTCAACCTTGTAGTTCAATACTTAAAAGCTACCACGACTGTAATTTAAAATTGGCAACTTGAAGAATCGTATTAAAGTATTACTGTTAAGGGAAATTGGACTTTATGTGGTGTATTATTAGGTGTAAAGGTAAAGTCAATGTAGATTGGAACTAGTGAGGGGTCATTGAGTAATATTTGAAAGGTCAGTGTACTAGTGCAAGTGCTTACAGGTGAATTTGTTATACTACATTATGAATATCGATATTTTATTGGACCTTATTGCTATTTATCAATACGTGTTAGTATTGCATAATGATAGAACTTTAACATGTTATTAGCGTAGAATTCCATTTATCAGTTAAATGTTTTTAGAAGTCTCTTCAAGCTTTGAATTTTGTACGTTTTATTTTTTGTCCCAAGAACTGATACGGAAACTTCATACTCCCTAAGTTACAACAACCAACATCAGTATTTCAAACATCAATCTTACACGCAAATCAACAAAGCCTACTTTTGCACAAACCACAAATAACCAAATCACCTACAATTATACCCTACAACGTGTCCACAAAGACATTTAACACACCGCCCAAAGTAATTGAGTGACATTTCCCACAGATACAGCGCATGCGAACTATCAGAGAACTAATAGCAGCCATTACTCTGTGTCTAGGAGTGCCTTCTAAAACAATTTGCTTGTTAGATGTTACTAGAATTATTACAACAGTCATTGTTACATTTCGTAATGTAGAATTAAGTTGTCAAGAGCAGCAGCATGTTAGATTTCACATTTGTGGAATGTATAGTCTCGACAAGACTAATTTTAGAATTATTTTTATCTAAGTATATTGCATATACTATGGAATTGTGCCCGGTATATGGCAATAGGCTCACCCCCTATTACATGGGACTCATAACATACATAGTGAAAAGTGGGTGTTACATTGTACAGTGGCATAATGTGCACTTCTGCCTACCCCTTCGGGGATAAATGGCGTGATGTTACGTTTTATTTATGTATAATCGTATTGTCATTTTCTACTATACAGGGTAATAATTTGACTATTGTCTACGGGGTTTTACCTTATCAAACTATCGCACTGACTTACTAAGAAAAATGAATTTGTAAACTAAAAAACAAAACTAAGAGTAGTTTTGTTTAAGAGTAGTTTTGTTTTTTAGTTTAAAAATTCATTTCTCAGGGAGAGCCCTAAGATATTGAACTAATTTGAACGCCACTAACTTGATTGACTATCAAGACTTATTTAAAGCCTAAGCCTAACTTTTAGGACTAAGTTCTGAAATTTTACTATCATATCTCTAATAGCAATATCTTCCGAAAATTCGACTTACCATCATCAATGATGCCAGCGGCCTCATCACGAGCGTTCTGCTCCAGAGCCTTCAGGATCTCTTCAGGTACTGGGGGAGGGGTGGGGATGTGAGCACCCTGGGGTTGGAAACCACCCTGACCTGCGGCGTAGCTGATGGAGTAGACCTGGCCATCATCACCGGTGTACTGGAAGCCACCCTGAGCCTCGATACCGTCAGCCTGGAAGATTGAAAGGTGATTTGTAAGTAAATGAATCTTATGTGAGTATTTAGTCTGTCGAAGTATTTAAAGTTTGTTCTTAAATAGTTCAGTTGTTTCGGAGATTAACCAACTTGGATAAACAGATGCATTATACGCGTACTACTCATACTGAGAAGCGGGCGTCTTAAACCTCCGGGCCACCATGACATTATAAGTTTATTACAAAATAAGTTTATTAAGTTAGAACCCATAAGTGCTTGTTGCTAACATGTCGATGGGTCTACGTTATTTTCAGGCGTGAAAGCATGGGAAAAATACTAATTAAAAGTCACCTAAATTAGGCTTCATCATCATCATCATAATCATCAGCCTAAAACTCGCCACTGCTGACCAAAAGCCTCTTCTCACACGGAAAAGGTGTGGAAATTAGGCTTTAGTGTTGAAAACTTTGGCCTTTATTAAAGAACATGGAGTTAATTAAATTATTCCTAACATATTTACAAATATATATATTGTTAGAGGAAAATCCTTCTTAGAGATAAATCCTTCTTAGAGGAAAATCCTTTTCAGCCTAGTACATTTGTGCGATGACGTCAGCTGGAAGAGATGACAGGAGTGACACGAGAACGGAGCAGTGCTATGCAGCCGTGCCCTCTTTTGCGTTGGCGCTCGGACGAGACGGTTGTGTGGTTGTACTCTCAAGAGAGAGGGCTATTTTGCAACATTGGTGACTGCTAGTCTGAATTATAGTTATTTGTAGTTTTGTTACTTTTAGTTCTCGTTTAGGTTATTTTGCTTATGTTAAGATTGTAATAAAACAGAGGTTAGGACTGTCAGTGTGTTTCTTTTTTAAAAAACTATATTTGATAGACGTTTCTAAGATCAGAAGTGGGATCATTTACTGTCATTTACGCGACTTTGATCGTTCTCCATCCTCTTATTTTAAAAACTACATGGTCGATCAATTTTTTTTCTAGTAGTTTGGTGCTTTGTTCTTTTTGTAAATAGTTGCGGTTAGTAATTATGCCGAGTAGTGATAATTCTGGTGGTGAAACGCCACCCACGCGTCGAAGTAGGAGTCGTGATAGTCGAAAACGTAGGCATGGTTCACATAAACGCCGCGACCGTCGTTCAAAACGACGCGATCCGTTAAATCTGATTTTGCAAAGACTGAATGCCCTTGAGGAGCGCCTGCCGGTAACGGCGACTAGTTTGACCGCTCCGTCTCGTCCTCGCGTTTGAAGCAGCCCCTCGGCCGTGGTCTTGGACGTCACCGAGACTGCTGCTGAGGTTGGCGTGGCGACGCCCTCTACAAGCCAGTCTGCGGAAACGCCACGCGATACCGGCAGCATGGCGGATGGGATTGTCGGTGCATTCTTTTCATTGTTACAAGTAAGATCTAAGCATTACTACATTTCGAATTTCGATCCAAGTGTGCATGTTTTTGATGTATGCGGAGGTAGACCGAGGCCGAAACTTGAACGGTTGGGATGATTATGAGTGTTTTGGGCGTATTGCTGGTTGCCTACGCGGTGACGCCAAAACGTGGCTGAACCATAGTGTAACAAGCGATCGCTCGTGGTCGAATTTTAAAGCCGAGTTCCGATCGTTGTGTCCACGTGAAGTTGATGTAGCAACTGTGCTGTATGACGTTATGAGTACAACGTCTGACAAGTTTACCACGTATGCAGAGTACGCTCGAATGTCCCTACTGCGGCTAAATATCGTACGAAGGCTTTCGGATGAGCTCAAAACCGCCATAGGAATTCGTGACATCTCCGATCCTCAAGTGGAAGCCGCGGCTACCAACGCTAAACTGCAGCCAAAAGATTTGGTCGAATTTTTATCCGTGTACGTTAAACCTAAGAATACGCAAAGTGCTACCGGTAATCCCATACGCTCGTCAGCTGCTGAAACGTCCAATCCTCGTAAACGTGAAGCGTCTAGGAGAGGAGTCTCGTGTGGCAAACGCGGTCACAAACAAGCTGATTGTTTTAAAAGATCAAAAGTTGATTCAGCCACTTCTAATTCTAGATTTACCTCTTCTGAGACTTCAAATGTTGAAGATATGAAGTCTAATTCAAAACCAGTCAAAGTGATTTGCACCTATTGTAAGAAAACCAGTCATCTTGTTGGTTCATGCTATTTAAAGCAACGAATGGATTCTAAGTCCAATGATAAAAACAGTAGTGACGTAAATTTTTGCTGTGTCGATTCCGGACGAAACAACGTGATGACGGCGATTATTCAAAAACTACCCGTAGATGTTTTAATTGATGCTGGGTCTGATATTTCACTTATCGGTTTTAAAGCACTTTAGTTTTAATCAATTGCCAATCTATCATAGATTGCGAGGTATCGGTAGTCGAGATATCGAGTCTACTTCTTTTGTTAAGACAATAATTGAGTTCCCTGAATTATCATTAGAGGCGGATCTTTATGTAGTACTACCAGATTGCATTCAGGCATCTGTCTTGGTAGGGACCGACATTTTAAATCGAGAGGGTGTCACCTACATTAGAACGAGTGACTCACAACGATTGATGAGAGTTGATCAAGTGTACAATGTGTCGTCTGTGGAGCTGGCTGACCAAGTGAAGACACCTTTAGTTGGTGATGACAAGAAACGTTTGTTATCTTTGATTGACGAGTTTTCTGAAACGTTCACCACTGGCACAGCGACCTCCACAGTAAACACAGGGAGTATGGAGATTAGGCTTAGCAGTGACAGTTTGATAAGTTATCGACCGTACAAGCTTTCTATAGACGTGAAGTTACGCGTTCGCGGCATAATTAGTGATCTTTTGAGTAAGGGCATCATACGAGAGTCCCAATCAGACTATGCAAGTCCTATCATCCTCGTAAAGAAAAAGAACGGGGAAGATAGTATGTGCCGTAGACTACAGAGCTTTAAACGCTGTCACTGTTAAAGAAAGATTTCCATTACCACTAATCGATGACCACATCGATAAATTGGGTAACGCCAAGTATTTTACCAGTCTAGATATGGCCACTGGCTTTCATCAAGTACCAATGAAAGACGATGCTTCCATTAGTAAAACTGCTTTTGTGACGCCTGAAGGGCATTATGAGTATTTCAAAATGCCCTATGGGCTGGCTAACGCCCCAGTTGTATCTCAACGCATTATCACAAAGACACTCAAGCATCTTATACATAGACACTGGCCATGTAATGACCTATATTGATGATGTACTGATCATGTCCAATTCAATCGAGGAAGGCCTAAAGATATTGCGTGAGGTTTAAAAAAACTCTCTCAGCGGCAGGCTTCTCAGTCTATCTGAAGAAATGTACGTTTTTAGATCCGGAGGTTTAGTACTTAGGACGGCTGATTGGGCATGGTCAGGTACGGCCGAGTCGGAGTAAAACTGATGCTCTAATTAAGTCCCCGAAACCCACAAATGTATAAAAGTCAGTTGTATGTCACTTTTTGGGGCTGGCAGGTTATTTCCGCAGGTACATTGCTGGATATGCCTCGAAGACTGCTTGTATTGCCAAGCTACTGAGAAAAGGCGTGCCTTTTGTTTGGGAACCAGAACGAGATGTTGCGCTAAGCGACTCTCGTCCGAACAGAGGGTCTCGGAACTGCTTGCTGCCAATTAGCAACGACAGGACGCCTACGTTAATGAAGGGTCGTCGAGTCGTCGACAACCCCGTACTTTTTCTGTTGGCAGTTTCGTGTTCGTCAGCAAGGGTTCACAAAGTACCGGCAAACTCGATTTCGGGATGCGTGGTCCGTACAAAGTTGTCCGGGCATTGCCTCATCACCGTTACGAGCTTGAGTTGTTAGCAGGCTCATATGGAAAAAAGACTCAGAGCGCCGCAGAACATATGGTTCAGTGGTGGGGTGAGTGGATCCCGGATACATGCGAGGCATTTTTCGGGACTGGTGAGTGAGCTCTGTTTACCTGGTACCCTTGTGGGGTAGCCAGAACGTCACGTAGGTGACCATGTTTGTGTTTACCTGGTACCCTTGTGGGGTAGCCAGAACGTCACGTAGGTGACCATGTTTGTGTTTACCTGGTACCCTTGTGGGGTAGCCAGAACGTCACGTAGGTGACCATGAGTGCGTTTACCTGGTACCCATGTGGGGTAGCCAGAACGCCACGGAGATGTCCTGACTCCTCGATGCGGAGGTTTGTCAGAGGGCTTCGTAAGTGGCTTCTTGATTTGTTGTTATTTATGTTTTGTCCTGGCGGTTGCCAGAGGGCCACTTACGAGTGCTTCTTGTTTTACTGTTGCTCATATTATGTTTGTTGACATCGTTCATGAGTAGAGCTCCTCATTGACGATGCCTTCTTGCTTTGGTTACCATTTGTAAGGGGATTGCTTGAGTGCACGCTTGCTATCCGTTTGCAAAGTGAACCAAAGCCAAAATAATACATCACTACAATGTTGTTTTAACATTTCAGAAGAGAATGATGTTGATGAAGAACCATCAAATGAGGCTGTTGTAGAAATTCAAGCTGACGAGGCCGTTCAGCTGTCAGGAACGGCCGTGTTAGAGGAAAATCCTTCTTAGAGATAAATCCTTCTTAGAGGAAAATCCTTTTCAGCCTAGTACATTTGTGCGATGACGTCAGCTGGAAGAGATGACAGGAGTGACACGAGAACGGAGCAGTGCTATGCAGCCGTGCCCTCTTTTGCGTTGGCGCTCGGACGAGACGGTTGTGTGGTTGTACTCTCAAGAGAGAGGGCTATTTTGCAACATTGGTGACTGCTAGTCTGAATTATAGTTATTTGTAGTTTTGTTACTTTTAGTTCTCGTTTAGGTTATTTTGCTTATGTTAAGATTGTAATAAAACAGAGGTTAGGACTGTCAGTGTGTTTCTTTTTTAAAAAACTATATTTGATAGACGTTTCTAAGAATATATATATTTATGTAATATTGCAACAAAGTAACCAATTATTTAGTTTACATTTAACATTGATCTCAGAAGATGAATGTTCTAAATAATGATTATCGAAATGTCATTACATTGCAATAATAATGGATGCCCAGTAAATTATACTATTACATGTAATATTATTACGTTGTTTGAGTAACGAGGTTAATAGAATGAATTACATTTTCCTATTAGTTCTGACCGTGGCATTTTGTGGTATTTCTGGAAGGTCAAATTATTGACCTTACAATCGTCAGTTGTTTTAATTTGACAAATGGATTCATTTGAACTTCTGTGTACAGTATATTTTAGGAGGTAATTTTTCAAAACACTATGATATAAAATTTTCATTTTCTATGTCTGTTTGTTACACTTTAAAATGGTGGGTCAAATGAAAAGTACCAAATTATTATTTAATTTAAATAAATGCTTTGAATTTGACTTCTTAACATCACAAGAAAAAAGTTACTTCTCATCTAAAGACATAATATGAACGAATTATATTCTACATGAATGAAGTCTGCATTTCAATATTACGACAAAAATATTTGCAAGAAAATCTTAGTCAGAGACTACGAGATAAGTATTACTACTCTAATATAATTCCTAATAAGGTACATAATAGTAATAAAAAATGCAATGATGCCGTTATATTGTTACGTTAGCACTTAAACAACACTATAACTTATCTTGCAATTAAATAATATAACTACCTAGCTTTCAACCAGGAAATTTATTTCAACTTTCAAGTTCAATGTTCAAGAAAGAAATCGTTTGTATATTTCCTATTTTTTCATTCATTTGTTTACTGTGATAATGATTCAATAAATTATTAAAAAAGACAACATTTCACTTCTGTTATGAGTAGTCGAGTAATAGAAACCGATTCCCGTGATACTTTTTTTTAATTTGGCTGTTCATTACAAGGACTTAGTTTAATATCTCAGTTTAAAAAACAATTGACATGCTAGAATTAGCTGCACAATTGGAATTGCGCTGGACTGATCAAGTCTAATCAGCAACGGGAAACCCAGTGTCAGACTGCGCCAGACAATCCACAAACAGGGAGATATGGCGGGAGATCGTGAGGAAAGCTGTATCGGCCTCCAACACAAATATGGCTGCCTCAACGTAACCACGACCGCTCTGCCAAGAGCGAAAAGACAGAGAAGAAGAAAGGCGTACTTAGTGCTATATTCACGTATCTATCATTCGCTGTCACTATCATTCTGAAACGGCACTTGTATAAAATCGAAAGTACATAGTTACAAGTGTTATTTAATAATAAACTTGACAGTGATGGTTATAAATAATACCTATAAGTTATATTATGAGTTATTGACTCATACAGGCTGAAGCATTACTTTCATTTTTATGTAATAGCTATAAAGGCTATATAATATTAGTCATTGACACCTTCTGCTAGATGCTACGCCCGTGTTCCACTAGGATAAAGAGTAGCCTATGTATTTTCCTAGACCATAACCTGCCCTTGTTACAAGTTTCATACCGATCCCTTCAGTCGTTTTTGACGTAAAGGCGTCACAAACAAACATACAAACTGTTGCATTTATAATACTAGTCAGATAAATAAGTAGGCGTACTTTGCTCGGATATTTGTTAATCATTGAAGTATCTTGACATTCCATTAATGTTTTTATTTTGTAACAGTTAAAGTTCAAATTGCTTTTATGATCTTGTTCAGCTGTAAAACATAGTTCTAAGTTTGATATAGGAGTGAAGTATTTATTGTATTTGTTTGTAGTTTCGAAATTCCTATCAATTCATTTTTTATTACTATTAGTAAGATTTTAAAATTCCAGCTGGAATGAATAGGGGGAAGTGCCGTAACGCCGGACGGCACCTAACGCCGGGCACTTGGATTATCTCGACAACTAATAACAGGAGCGTTTAAATTTTTACTAAAAATCTTAGTTGTCTGCCACTAAAAATTGAATCGCTCGCGTTATTAGTTATCGAGATAATATAAGTGTCTGGCGTTAGGTGCCATCCGGCGTTAAGGTACTTCCTATAGTTCAACACAAATTTTGAAATTGCTACCTACACAGACATTTTTCGATCTTAAATTAACACCTTATTTCTCAGTACTCTGTGCATTCTAAAACCATTTATTAGCTGATGACCTAGTAATCTTTTTCCGAATGGCTCGCCCATATGAGTCTAGCAGGCTGGTCTAAAGGGCAATGGCCGGTAAAAGGTCAATATTATGCAAATACTTGCGGTTTCAAAGTTATTAGGTTCGTTTGTTCGTTTGTCAATCTAGTTAAGTATGTTTGTAGAAGATTTTATTGCATTTCAGTATAGTTTAACATGAGCTGAGCATAAATTTCCCAATGTTTTATTGGTATAAAGTACCTATTGTTATTTCCTATTTACCATGGAAAATTGCACATAAATGTTCTAAATATTTGTTATTGTGGTCTACAAACTGTAAGCCACAAATCAATGGAAATAATTATAGGTAAAGTGTTAATAAAAACCGCATTGAAAACCGCCAAGCTGTTTCGTAGTTCTAAACACATAGACGCGTATTGCTGCTTTGTTTTGTGTAGGAGATTTTGTTAATATATTTCATCTCTTTAGTCTTTTCTTATGAATTATGGAACACAGCCTCATTAAAATAATAAAATCATAACATAACATCACGCCTTTTTATCCCCGAAGGGGTAGGCAGAGATGTACATTATGCCACTGTACAATGAAAGACCCACTTTTTATGTTATGAGTCCCATGTAATATGGGGTGAGCCTATTGCCATATACTGGGTACAATTTCAGACTCCGTGCTACAACTGAGATTTTTTTTAAACCCAGTAATACTTTGCCCGACCCAGGAATCGAACCCGAGACTTATTGCCCGGCAGTCGCACATGCGACCACTCGGTTAGCGAGGCATTAAAATAATTTTCTTATAAATCATTATTATTCCAAAATACCGTAGCATTGTTAAAGTTTTCAATTTCACGTAGGTATGCACAAAATTATATTGAAGGCAACCAGGTGGCTTACTCTTGAATCCAATTCCGATCGATCGACATTGGTATTGCGATATTTCGTACTCTTGAGTTGCAACACTAGCGCCCATTGCATCCGTATTGCGTGGTTATTGAATGAACTAAATGGTATTGAGTTTGTCTTTATATTCCGTACTCTGAATGCTATTGTAACAGCTACGATTGTGGTTGTATAGTGTTGACATTGAATAATTATTGAGATTTTATTGGATTGAAATTGCATTGACATTGAGATTGGTTTCAAGAGTAAGTACCCTGATCTTCATGTTGCTAATTTATTAAGTTAAGTCCAAAGTAATATCAGATTAGACCACCCATGGTAATTTAAGTTTTGTAACTATATATAAAATTGAAAGGATGAGTAACATTCACTTTTGTGCTAATAACATTAGGTTTTTATTAGAGCCTAGTCTAGCCATTGCTTTGGCAATGCCTGCTTTTTTTTTCAAGATTTAAACGGCTTTTCGACGAAGGAGGGTATTAGGTTATTAGGGTTTTTTTTAAGGGGGAAAATCATCGAATGACTGCTCCCGCCTGGGTGAAGCGGCAGGGAGTGTCAGACTCTTACTGACTAAAAACCACCCCGTTCCTTCTCCTGCACGTCGAGCCGGAGCCCCGGTGACCCGTTAGGTTCTCCGGTTATTAGGGTGGTATTAGTGTACTAGGGTATTGTCATGTTATGAAATTAAAAGTAATCGTTCACTTTTAAGATTTTTAACGTGATATTGAACTTATTTTTTCCCTGTATATATCTTCTTACTGTAAACTTATGTTACTTTGGAGCCAAATACTGGAAAAAATTCTAGTATTGCTATAATAACTTCAGCATAAAATTAACCTACGAAAATACATTTCATTGTGCACTATATCAATTGTTTGTTATCCTTTATGTTTATTTGGTGTACAATAAAGAATATCATAATATTATTATTATTCACCTCTGTGCAGTAAACCCTTCATCTTCTACTTATAACCATATCCCTTCACACATTCACTCCACATCCTGATCTGATGTTCCACTTACCTCACGGCCCTGCTCCTCAGCCTTGATGCCATTCTCAGTTTCGTAGTTGTATCTGAAGGAATCTTCTTTCACGTCGGAGTCCAGAGCGATGATTCTAGCATTCTTCTCGAAGGAGGCCTGAGGGCGGTTGGACTGTTCAGGGTAAGCTGATGGGGCGTACGCCGCGGCGGCAAAGCCGAAAAGAGCGGAGATCAGGATCTGAGGGTGAAAAGAGGTTGGTGAGATGATGTGAAGAGGATTTTTTTGGTTTTATTGAAGTTTATTCTATGTCTATGCAGAGAAAATGAAAATTATAAACAGTTCAACTGATGCATGTTGACTGTAGTGCTCTAAATACCGAAAATATAATATTACTTAATAAAACATTTCTGTTCGATCATGGGGCTCATTTTACTTAATATTACTATATTATATTGTACACTAATTATCTATTTACTCATAACAAGAAATAAAATCAGATAACAAATGATCTATTGTAAGAAAAAGACCTACATAATTATATGTCATTAGCCTCGTTTCCCAAAACTATTAATTTACTTGCATCGCCTTCATAACACGTGTAATAATATTCGATACATTGTACATAGCAAGACAATGGAATAAATTATATAAGAGTAATTAGTATGAACTGCCTCTAGGCCATGAATTAATTTTATGGGAGTTAGCGTTCCGTATGTTTTGGAAACCTTGATGTAGGTGCTAGACATTAAAAAAAAAAAAATATTGTGAGAATGTAGTCTGGGACCGTTTTATTTTCATTAGCGTTCAGATTGTCTAAGGCTTGATTTTATCAAAGTGTAGATTGTAAAACAAAAAGCTTGTGTTTTAAAACTGAATGTATTGATTTAATACTTGTAAAAATGACATTCATTTATTAACATTATATAAGCAAATGAACAATGACAAATAAATCTTCATCGATTGTTTCATTATTTGTTCTTCTGTTTCATCCTTTATTTGTGATAGATTATATAAAAGAAAAAATGATGATACGGAACCTTCACCACGTGTTGCAATTCGGCCCGAACTTTGATAGATGACTGTACTTAACATTGCACAAGTGAGAATTTTGCGCAACATTGCAATAGATCAAATATTATCATCGTCCCGACCATTGTCTTACATTTTGACATCAATTCAAGAACGCTAACTATTCTAAAACAAGTGTTCTCGCAGTTCGCAGTTCAAATTACGAATTTGCATAGTTCTTTTTTATTTTACGCGCGAAATCTGACGTTTGCGAGTTTGTTTTTGGAATCTGTGAACGGTGTTTTTTTCTTTTTTGTACAGAATTTGCTTATGTCTAACTTTTTTTTGTCTTTGGAATCTTTTTTTTAATACATTCGTTTCCCTGTTAAAGCCAACTTTTTATAGCAGAGAAAGCTAAATTATAGAATTTTTTATTTATTTTTTTAATCATGTTAGATCTATAATTTTCAAAGTAAATGACTATAATGTTATTTTGGGAAAGAATATGTAATTTAGTTTTAAGTATACTAATTTTGTTTTCAGCTCTGCCCGTGCGAAATCTGTGTGCAATCGTTTGCACAAGAAGCTGTAGAAATTGATGAGCATAGAGTTTTGTTAATATGTAATCATTGTTATTTATTTCTATGGTATTAATTTAGTAAACTAAGTAATGTTTAGTTTTATGTGAAGTTAATTCATGTAAAGTTTTATAGTGTAATAAAAAATAAAAAGTTAATATACCTAAACAATTGCGACGGTTATTCACATTTTCAAAATACTAATAAAAAGCTAAAATAATGAAATTGTAGTTTCGTCTTTATGTTTAAATTGTAAAATAAAAAAACTACTTTTAAAATTAATACAAAATGTGACGTATAAATTCCGGAATGACAAATGACGGTATTAAAATTACTGATGCACTGTCAACCACAGCAAATAAATTATTTTGTATTGTATTAAATCACTCATTAAACAGTAATAAAAATAAAATTCACTTCAAAAAAACCGCACAATAAAACAAAATACTAAAACTAAAAACAACCCGAAATCACAACACTAAACCGATTCCCAAATCGATACCCGCCCACTCGATCAATCGGTAAACGAATCGAATCTCGTAGTAATATCGTAACTCACCAGTTTCATATTGTCAGGTCGGAGGTGAACACTCGAATGTAACAAACGGGGACCGAACCTGCATATATATACACATCGGATGATAGGAACGTTACAAAATTCATTCTAGTTCATAATGATGCCACTAACAAATATCTGTACGGATACATTTTTTTGCGTAAGTAATGACATTTTGGTAAAATGATTGGAACATGTGGTATGCTTGTTTATGGATCATTAGTTCAAGGTCACAGGTAACCTCTCTGTTGGTGGTTAAAAAAACAATTAATTTTGCTCTACAGAAGTGCACTGTGCAAAATTGGAGTTCCGCGTTCCATATGTAAGATCCTGATGTCGGAATTTGATTAGATTGCAGCTAGAAGATTCATTTTTGTTTATTTGAACTTATAGGGGATCAATTAGATATTGACTCACTAATTACCGGATAAACTTGAGAGGGTACGTACGTGAAGGAGGAAATCAACTATTGTGCCTGTCTAAGTAAGAAAATTATCACAGAATTGTGTCAGCATTCCATAGTCTCTGGCTAATCTCTTTGTCAGCCATCAATTTATAACTATCACATGTTCCATAAAAAAACATGTTATTGGATATAATTAACTATATTCTAAGTGCTTCCTTAAATAATTATAACAAAAAAAGAAAGATCTGCTTAACTTTCACACAATTTGTTTGTTGATCGTAAAACCATCGATGCATCGTAATGGGATATACATTAGTTAAAAAAAAAAACTAGTGCAACCATAATTACCTATCAGAATAGATGAAAACAAAAGTTTACATGTATGTAATTTGACTAAGTATATTTGGATGACCAGCACAAGGTTATACTGCGGTGGAATAATTGCAAAAAATAATAGACAACTTTTTGGTTAACCTTTTTAATGGTCATAGTTTTCGGTATTCCAAACGCCTTTGGGTTTTCCTATAAACAAAATGTCTGCGTAAAAGTGTAGTTAGGAAGTTGGCGGTAATTTCTTTGTACTTCAGCAAATTGTTAATTAATTAATCAGATAAAAATTCTAAGGTAAAATGTCTTCAACTTTGGATTGAGGTAATAAAAAAGATTAATTGTCCCATAGAATAGGGTAAAGTTTGCTACGTATTTCTGCGTTTCAAGATAAAGGATAGAAAAATTGAAAAAAAAATCATACTTTTCTTACCATCTCCATATAACACATTTTAGTGTCATCGATAGAAAAATATTAATTTACCATAGTACCTAAAATCTATATTCGATAAGGTTACAACAATATTTCAATGCCTAAATTATTTCCTGCGAGTGTTGTCTAGGCTTTCCTTCTTGATACTTACTACAACAATGGCATAGCGAATATGAAAATAATATTTCTAGACTGGAACATTTTAATATTTCTAACCTAAAGATAGTTTTTGGAGAAAAATTACAAATCTTCACCTGCATACTCGGATGAGACCAGGTTAAATCAAGTCAAACCGAATCAATGTCAATAGAAGTTGAAACGAGCAATTTTTTATTTATTTTATTTGAGGTGGGAAAATCATCAAATGACTGCTCCCGCCCGGGTGAGGCGAGAGGGAGTGTCAGATTCTTACTGACTAAAAACCACCCCGTTCCTACTCCTGCACTTCGAGCCGGAGCTCCGGCAACCCGTTAAGTCTTCCGCGGTTCCGTATAATGCCGATCAGCCCTGTTACGCCCCATCTGTAAATAAAATAAAATAAAACCTGTGGTGGTCTGATGGCTCCTTGAGGCTTGCGCGGAACGCGACGCGCCGTACGTTCGGGCCTGGTTTTGGGTCAAGCGGCGACTTCCCCGTGCTCGCCGTCCGCAGGCCCAAGAATCAGGAGCTGAATTCTTAATTTAGATACAAAGATATAGTCTTAATTTGATTAGAATTGCCGGGATTACTTTACTTTATAACAAGATCAGTATCAAGCTTCCTTGTGCGTACTGCTAAGGAGTGGAATCCTTTGCCAGAGTCTGTATTTCCTGAAAGGTAACCTGAGCGTCTTGAAGGCCCGAGTGAATAGGTTGCATATGGATCGATGTGCTCCATCGTAGACCGCATCATGGCTTACCATAACGCGAGATAGTGGGCAAACGGTCGGCCCATCAAATATAAAAAAAACAAGAATAGCAAGAGGGAAAAGACTCAAGTGTAAATAGTTAGATAATTTTTTCCTAACATTTGTTTTATTTTTCAAATAATAAAGTAGTAGATATATAAAAAAAACAACTCTAATAAATAATGATAATGTAAAATCATAATGGTCCAATTCAAATTCCATTCAATAACCTTCAAACGATATTGGATTTTATTCCATTATAATAATCGTCATTATGGATTATAAATAAATACAAGTACATACATATAAGTACCAGAATAATGTATGATCGTATTATGGACACTTCATTAAATAAATAATCTGTGTCTAATTTAGCCTAGAAGGTTGACCAGGTTCTAAAATTTTAAATTCAGCTAAGTCCAGTACATGTCCTTATTTTATTGTTATAGGCGTAATTTCAGTCATCTGCGACTTCAAGCCACCACACCCTCCCAAAACTGCTGTAACTTTTGTGAGCCAGGATCTACAGTAGATCCAATCATGAAAAAACTGGAACACTGAAATCCGGAGCCCCAGGGACATGAGTAACTGTCTTGGATCTCGCAACGAAATAAATAAGAAGGGATTATAAGAGGAGAAGAAAAAAAGACAATAGTTCCTACTTCCCTCGGTGAATAGGGTAGATGCCTAATTTTTATTTTAATGTCTATCTGGTAGATTATTTTAAATCATTAGACACGAATTTTTTATTTTCTTACAGAAACGCATAGGTACTTTCGCCGATATATTGATTTGAAATGTCGTGTGACATCACTTCTATGTATGTAGATTTTATACGTAGAAATGACGTTTTTAGCCCCCACTCCTAAGCTTTGATTCGTTTTACTTAGTATTATTTTATTACACAACAAATTAAAAAAGATACGTGTCTAGTATTTTTCCATTACCTAACTGACGGACTAAATAGATTTTTAATTTTCATATCCTCATGATGACGATCATCCCTATTAATGCAGGAGACAGACATGACTTAACTTAAGCTTCCGCTTAGCTGTCACTTAACTGTAAATTAAGTAACTTATATAAAATGTAACAATTGTAGGGCTTCCGTAAAACAGACAGTAAAAAATGATAGTTTTCCCACACTACAATGAATACTGAATGAATTTTATGAGATTAATTATTTTTATTGTGATCATATAAAGTAATTTCCTACTGTCATAAAAGTAAATGTAATTGAAGAATAAGTTCTATATTCACCCGGTATTTAAATTAGCTGTTCATGGATATAGCAGTCCTAAAAATGCTAATAATTCCGAGTATCTCTCTCAATGACTCATAACATAAATAATGAAAAGTGGGTGTTACATCGTACAGTGGCATTAAGTGCCGTAATGTGCACCTCTGCCTATCCCTTTTGGAATAAAAGACATGATGATATGTTATATTATAAATTTGACAAAAATAATTACCATAAAATGGTAAAACTCAATAAAGAGTTCGCGAACTTCTTTAAACCTAAAAATGCTCTAATTCAGGCTTTGAATTTTGCCACAAACATACATAATATGGTGCAACTTAACCATCGAAGAACGAAAGGCCAAATAAAAGATCAATCAATAAAATTCGCATCGGAAATAGCGAATAAGGCTGAATCATAAAATTTCTACAAGTATCAGCTAAAAAAGGTTCAACCTTGGATTGAGACAAAGCGATGAGGCATGTAACAATAACGTCTGCAAGTAATAGCTCGAGAAAGGTCACATTCCTACACAACGTTAAGACATAGCTCAGTTCGCACTTACTAATATTTTAATCTAGATGTTTGTCTGTATTTGTAAATTTTAAGAAATAAACCTGTCATTATAATTTCTTATAAGACTGCCTCATTGGCCGAGTGGTCGCAAGTGTGACTGCAGGCAAAGGGGTCTCGGGTTCGATTCCCGGTTCGGGCAAAGTGTTACTGGTTTTTTTTTTTTATTCTCAGTAGTAGCACGGAGTCTTGAATTGTGTCCAGTATATGGCAATAGGCTCACCCCCTATTACATGGAACTCATAACATAAATAGTGAAATGTGAGTGTTACATTGTACAGTGGCATAATGTGGACCTCTGCCTAACTCTTCGGGGATAAAAGGCGTGATGTTATGTTATAATCTTTTATTTATATTTGATAATTACAGAGTACACCAACACCACCCCTTTTTCAGAGCCGACTATGGGACTCCATCGGTCAGTAGCACTTTGAGATAAGCCTAAACCTTTTAAACTAAGTTGTTCACCACGACTTTTTAGCTTGAAGATAATAATATGCAGAGAAAGTCCATAATGGAGCTGAGAGTCTATTAATAACTGTTGAATGTTCATATTGTTACTTGTAAACATTATTATGGATATGAATATTATTATTGTTTACCTCAAAAGCTTAAGACCTCAGCCTTTTTGTTTATTTTTTATGTGCAGACGTTTGACCACTATCTCGTCACGTGGTAAGCGATGATGTGGTCTATTTGCTCCCAAGCCCAGCTTTTCCTTGCAACATCTAATAGCTATTTTTTAAGGTGCACCAGTGAATAACTACAATACTTAAAATCGCCTACAACGAGAAACGCAGAATGCAAAACCGAGGTCAGTAATAATACTTAATCTAAGATACTGGTCTTCTGCTAAAGGTCTGCCGAAGATCAAGGGCTCGAAGGGACTCCAAAGGTTAAACTTAAGTGTATCTCCATCAAAGGTTATAAGGCACATCGATTAATAACAGAAAAAACAAAAATGTATTTTGGCGTTGTCGCGATAGTTGTGTTACCAATTTTATTATAAGACTGCACAATATAAAATCACCCTATTAATCCCCGAAGGGATAGGTAGAGGTGCACATTACGTCAATTAATGTCACTGTACAATGTAATACCCACTTTTCACTTTTTATGTTAGGAGTCCCATGTAATAGGGGGTGAGCCTGTTGGCATCCGGGCCCATT